GCTGGCGTATCCACCCCACGTTCCATGCCTCGGAACTTTCCTCCTATCAGGAGACAGACGTGCATGGACCGAATTTCACCGAACCTCCTCCTGATCTTATCGATGGAGAGGAACACTACGAAGTGGAAGCTATCCTCCAACACAAGGGTACCGGATCGCGTCGCCGGTACCTCGTGTCTTGGGTTGGCTATCCTGCCTCCGAACGAACGTGGCTCCCCGAAACAGAATTAAAGTCCGCAGCGGAGCTCCTGAAGGCGTATAAGAAGCGACTCAAGATCGCTTCAATCGCCATCTCATGTTGATCAACAACCGCCACCGCAACTTCTCCTACCGCCCTCACTACACTAGGGCTGACCCCACCAGCGAACCCATCCACACCGATACCAAAGCCTTCCATCGCCAACGAATCCGCAATCGCCACCGCCCCACGAAATCCACACCCGTCGACAAACAGAGACCCACTACCCAATACCCCACCTACGCCACTACCCAAGGAAAGACGCTCCACTATGTCGGCCTCAGCGTCGTCTGTTTCCTCGCACCGATCCGCTACCTCTCATGCGTCTGCCTCCGACCCCGACCCGACGAGCCAGCCAACGCATGGCCATGATAGGCCCTCCTACACCATCTTCCGACGACCATCCCTTCGCTCAGTTGTCCAAGACAGGCAACGGGCCTACTGGGAAGCAGTCATCTGCGATCCCCAGTATGCAATCCGACTCGACAACTATCTCAACCGCACCAACGACGACATAACCATGAACCTCGTTCAAGCCTTCAGGGCCACCGATGCCCTCACCGGCGACATCGCCAGGATTGACCTGGCTAGGGAGACTTCCCTATCCACCGTCTCAACCAGATACAACCAAGGCAAGATCAAACGAGCCTTGCTAAATCTGTTTGAACTTAGGAACTTCCATGCCGCCGTCATGGCCGTCGAGGAGGAGCGGGCATTTAATCCCCCTCCCGACCCGCTTGCAGTCGTCGAGCGTGTTGTCTATGACAGAGCTCCGACCCCCTTCCTTCCCCAGCTACCCCGCTCTGAATCACCAGAGCAGATCCCCAACGTCACCCAGTTGACCAACCCCGAAATCGACCGTCTCTATAACGAATACGAACGCGAGCTCTACGCTCCACGTAACCCCTCCCCCATCCTCGATGCCGACACCATCTCTATCATCATCCCAGAGTTGGATGAATGCCCTCCCGCATCACCTGTTCTCAACCCCGACGATTGGGTACCCACCGAGACGGTCCCACACCTCTCTATTGGTTCTCCAGAACCCCTTCCCACTCCGCAACGCCGAAATCACCGTGCTCGTGCACGATCCATCTTGTCCCTAGGACTACCCCTCTCCCATGCGCATCGACCGCGCACCCAGAACTTCACTAGGCACTATCCTCGCGAGGAAGCCCAGGAAGACGCCATCAACGACGCGCGTCGTGATGCCACCGAGACCACCCAGGTCTACCGCAGCAACGTTGTTTGCCGCCAGTGCCGTGTCTACGGACATAAACAGAAACACTGCGCGCCATACTTCTGCCGCATTTGTGGGCAATTTGCCCCAAAACATCTCACTCCCTTCTGCCCTCGACTCGACGGCAGAAAGATCCTTCGCCGTGGAACCTCTTCCGACCGGTTCTACAGGGACATGCAGCAGCTTGAAGCTGCGTATGACCAGGACGCCGCTCGCCTTGAGCAAGAACGCGAAGAGAATGCAATCGAAGCCGCCTCCTGGCTCGAAGACCTCGACTTCGACCCCGCATGGTATAACAACCAGGACGACTACGTTCCTCTGGACGACGATTAAAGAGTTCGTGGAACTCTACCTTGAAACGGGGGTAATGTTACAAGTAACATCGGCTACATGGCCCCCCTATCATTTTTCCCCTTCGTCCTCGCCCTCGTATGCCTCCGGCTCGCACTTCTCTACCGACTATCCGTTGACCGGATCCTCGGGACCGTTCCCGTCCCTCATCCCCCTCCTATCGCACCAACGTGCGCACGTGCCTTCGGGCTATGACTCGTTCTGACTCGTGCCACCAATGTGGCTTTCCTTATCTTGTCTTATCTTTCCTTTGACTCGTGCATGCTGCACATTGTATCATTTACCGTTGGCTCGTTCCAACGTTTCTCGGTCTCATTCCGCATTCGACCTTACATCACTAATAAGGCTCTGCCACCATCGTACCTATACCCTTTCCGTTTCCCCTTTGCCCTTACCTACAGTACGGTAGCCTTGCCCTCAACCCTTTCCACTTAGTATAAGTAGTCGGTCACTCTGTACTAGATTCCCTAACTTGAATCTACTCAATCTTCCCTCGAACATACTTCCCTCTGAAGCCCCTTCAGCTTCAGTCTCTAGTATCTTTTCTTAGGTGCTCATCGCGCCTAAGTCTACCTCGATCGACCACCTCATCGTTCGGACAAGACTGTCCTTACTTTGAGAACGTCAGTGACTTTGAAGACATCTGTCTTAGAAGTCACGTGACACGCGCGTCTCTGATATCTGCCGACTCGACGTCGCCAGTCTCAGTCGCTACACCGGACCCTTCCGGTTACGTCACGAACGTTAGCGGACGACGCCCCTCTTAGGGTTCCGCATAACAGATCTATTTGAGTGCGTAACAGCATCCATTTCCTTTGTCTAGCGACAGGATGACAACATATGGTTCTCCACCGACATCATCTTGAATCCCTCACCTACGTCAATTCATTCTATTCTTGAATGTTACATCTGCAGCAGTCGCAGGTGTCTGGCCCATGCGGATTGAGGCTGCACGCCCGCTGATTCGAGCTTGACGTTCAAAGAATCCTGCCTTGCTCCTGACATTATATTGCTCAAATCTATGTCTCCTTAATTTGAATCTACTTTGTGACACTAAAGAACTACTTAAGTACGACAACCAGGCTTGGAATGGAGATAAACCAACAAATTTTCCGTGCTCCCTGCAGAGCAGACAACTTCACCGAGCATTACATGCTACTGCCAGTTGATATATGCGCACACTCTTGGAAAGTGATTGAGGTCATGTGGGTTGCTGTGTCGGAGTCAGCGACTAGTTTAGCATTATATTCTCGAATGCCAAGGATCAGCCGTGGTCCTAACACAAACATCTGCACGACCTCCAAAATCTGAAACAAGCCAGACAAAGTCTGATCTTCTATGAGATATTAGCTCTATAGAAATGATAGATCGTGGTCACATGTAGAGGTAAGTGAAAGATTGACATACCATTGAAAATGTTGGAGAGAATTCAATAATGAGGTTGAAGCAAGAGAGAGCAACAAAGCTACCAAGTCCAACCCTTCAGTGGAAAAAGGGAACAATAATCACAATATGAACTTATCTCACAAAATAGAGCACATGAGTTTTCATCAACACCGTAAAAAAGTCCCCGATAATCCCTCCTGCCGCATGTAATCGCAGTTCATGGAAGTGTTTTACCGCAATCCAGACTGCAAGACATAGTGTGAGGACCTCCCACACAATGTAGAGTATCCAAATAGCGGAATCCAGAACTAGGACATCTCCTGTATAGCTAATCCTGCACTGGTAGGTGCTGGAGAGAATGAGTTCCTCTGGTATCCATCAATGAGCCCCATGCACATTCGTTTTCATCCACAATTAAGTGTACCTCCTGAAGTATGCATCGTTGACATTACGGTTGCCACTCCATCAAAAGTGTTGATCGCCAGGAAGGTGACAACGAGAAATATCAGGATCTTTCTGTCTTGTTGATACATGGCATGCAACCGAGTGATGATGATGACTTGCAGCATGTTTCAGTCATTCCAATATCACTGAGATCTTGCAAGTGCAAAGCTCACCCCACAGCATCACAAATACCACAAAAACCAACCAAACCCATATAGTGTACATCATCCAGCCTGACAAATCCGATCAGCAAGCAGTTTCAGGTAGCACAGACTCCAAACAGACTCACATCTTTGATAGTATAGCGTGGCAGCCATTAGTGGACTGAGAAGTCAGCAAAGAACCGCACCCACTGCTACAGAACACCACAGTTAATTTGAGGGGAATGGCAGGCATTTGTGCAGAAGACTCACTGTGTCTGTCAGCGAGATGGTCAGAACACCAACTGATGCCGTTGGTCAGAAGAAGAGATGACAGTGAAAGTACCAAGGACACACACCAACCATGGACAGACTGATCATAAGAGATAGACGATTAGCACAACACCGATTATTTTGCCTTCGGAACATACGCAGCAGATAGGATTCCAAGGTAACGCACCTAGTATACTTTTAAGTCAGCCCAAATTTTACTCACAACAAACAAGCTACATACACTGAGATACAGCACTGTCATGAGCAACCACCATTGTCTCTGTAATTAAGTGTACTTTCATGTATGTTCCTCTGGCATGAGACTGTACTCACCCAGACCAATTTGACCTACAAAAGGATTATTAGCAAGACGGGTTCTGGTGATAGTATTAATATTGACATACCTCTTGTCCAAATGTTCGTGCTGAAAAATACTTGTGAGACATCAACGTCTAATTGGCCCGTGCGGAAGGCAGAGAAAGTGTGGAGCGTGAATAACCGGTGCAAAAGTGGCTCCCTGTAGGCACCAGAGAGCCCTATGAAGATTGTGACTAATAATACATGACAAGTGAGCCTGAACCAACTTGAAGATACGCTAGGGAAGAGGAACCCAAGAGAAAACACCACAATCATATAGTAATACATGGACCGAGAAAGCCAAAGCGAAAAACACCTGAAAAAACAATACCATCCCCTCAAAAACATGAAGTCTCGACCGCTATAACGGTGTTAAAAAATAAGGGAGGGAAGGGAGGGTAGAAAGAAAGGTAAGATAAAGATAATTGAAATGAAGTGATGGAAGAGACGCACCAGATCAAGCCTGAACCTCATGAATAGACACACGTTCATGAAAGAGTAAAGCCTGCAATAGCACAGGATTTTTTCGAACGTAACGCTCCCAAGTGTCAGAGCGCCAATGCCCGATGCGCTGAATACTGGCCAGAGGTACACCAGCAGCAGCAAAAGAAGTTGCGCCACCTGCTCGCAGGGAATGTCCTGCAATTCTGGCATCGAAGAAGTGACACAGCCGGCGGATAAACCATACCCGAGAGGGCGGTCTACCATTGGAACACAACCAAAGGAAAGGTTGTAGAGGGAACTTGCAGTTCCTCATGTTGAGGTACGTCGCGAAAGGTGTGAGCGGATCATCCTCTCCAACTGAATGCTGAATCAGAACTTGATTCCCCTCAAACCGAATGTTGGCCTTATCATGGGGTAAAAGAAATGAGAAGTGGTCTGTATCCAAGCAAACTGAATGATGCTGAGACAACTTGGCATAATCTTGAAGGTCAAGCTGATCAGGCCATACCAATTCGCCCAGCCGCATAAGACCAAAAAACCCGACCAGAAGTTGGGCAAGCCAGAGATGATTGTCAAATGACAGTGGTCTAATGATAGTGTTCACAACCCATACCAAGTCTTCCCTTAGTAACGGCTGCTTTCTGACTACCACTTGACCAAAGCGCCGAGCCGAACCTTTGAGAGAACGGTGTACAAGCTGAGATTGCCGAATCTCCCTAATAGACGGATAGTAGGGTTCCAACTGGCTAACGATACTGGACAGATAACACTCAACCGAGCGCGGCTGAATGTGTTGACACATATACACAACATAAAAGGATAGGGTGTCAACTGAAGGTTCCACGGGAAAATGATGAGCCGCGCAAAAGGACAGATATGAGTTGAGATGAGATGAATATGAACACATCGTAGATGTATCCGGAGCCAAACCGAGAGAAATAGAATGCTCAAGAATGAGACATTCCAAGGACCAAGCTTCCCTTTTGGGCTGCCTGGCATTGGTCGAAATAGTGATCATTTTTTCGCTGCCCCCAGCGTATTCCGAGGGGGTTCAAAGGGCAAAATCTCCAAACCAGGAGATGTCTGGATAGCGTCGCCGTTCTTCCAGCGAGAAAGAGAGTCAGCAACCGTGTTATGATGACCCGGTACAAAAAATACTCAGAGATCAACATGAGACGTCAATAAGACATCAACGACTGCCATCAACAACCAGTTATAAGGCGGAAGGGCCGCCAGGGTGTTGAACAATGCTACGGTGTTCATGTTGTCTGAAAAAACCACCAATTTTTCATATGGCACCTCAGGCATCACTTTTTGGTACCAATAAAGGGTCTAAGAGACCCACTTTCTATGTCGTGGAAAAGTGGTCTAAGAGACTCAACCTCTCTACCATCTATTAATACAACACCCCTTAATATTCTGTTGCACCTCTTGCGTGGCCCTGACGCCGCCACCGGTAGGCACAATAGCCACTTGCGAAATGCTCTAGGGCCACTGGCGCCATCACCGGTAGGCACGATAGCCACTTGTGAAATGCTCTAGGACCACTGGTGCCATCACCAGTAGGCACGATAGCCACTTGTGAAATGCTCTCGATAGGACCACTGGTGCCTCCATCAGTGGGCATGATAGCCTCATGCAAAATGTTCTAGGGCTACTGAGCTTTGTACCTGCATTTGGAGGAAGAATGGGAAATCGAGCACATATAGTTGCTCCTAGTGTATCATCAAAAAGTATATAGCGGTGGGAGGCAAATTATGATCTACATCGATGTATCAATCCTCACACACCAATCATAGGTGTGCCCTTGATGTGCCGTGGTACTGATAGTAGGCCTCAATGCGGTATCATATAGAGTCTGGATGTTGGAAGATGCACGAAATGTGGGGATGTACGAGCGAGTGGTAACCAATAGTAATGGAGAGGAAGCTCGTAGGGTTTTCTAGAAGCTTCAGCCTCCAGAATGACAGTTGCGAGCCAATAACATCAGGGATAAAAATCATACTAAATTTGAAAGACAAACCGGCAGGTGTTTGCTGCCAACAATCCCATCTGAACTGGTCTCATAGATTCCACTAGCACGCCCCATCCTACTAGTACCAAAGTTTGGATGAGAACTATGGGTTTGATGACTACACTACATTCGATGGGTACGCAAGGAACACGGCAGTAAGAACTCAATACCAACTTCGGTCTTACTTGTAACATTTTCATGATTGTTCTATCCATCCCCGCCATGGGCCACAGAGCCAAATACTTCACATTAGAAGCGAAGTTGACAGCTGGAAAGCGTCAAAAAGCATCTTATTCTCAGTCAGAACGGCAAGTATCTTGTAAATATTCTGTGCATTGGTATCATGATTTACTGTTGCCACAGAGGTAAGATTACTTGCAAAGCTCAGAATGCCTGTGCCTATGTCAAGCATCATGGACGACGTGGAGCTCGTACAACCATCCAAGTCAGCGAGCTGCCAGACTCTCTGACATCCTCCCTGCTTCTATTCGCGACTCTTCCTCTTCCCGACTCCTATCTCTTTCACCAATCCTATGCTGGTTCTGACTTGATTGATGAATCCGATCTCTCACAGTGGGATAAACCCCCTCCTTATAATTATCCAGTTCCACTCAACTCGCCAGAGGAAGCACAATTTACGGAAAACCTTGTTGATGTGATGCACAGACAGTACTTGCACATCCAAAGAGAGGCTTGCAGCCATCGCGCTGACGTGTATAAGGCGGGAGACACTTCCAAGAATCTTATGGAGATTCGAGAGGTGGAGAAGAGGTTGGTTGCAGGTTGGGAGGGGATTTGTGCTTGTGTCGCCAACTTGCAGGGATGCTCGAGACATGAGCTTGTGGCCAAGTGTTACCTGCAAGGGTTAGCAAGAACAATCTTGGATTACCGACGAGAGGCAGATTGCTTAGCTACTGGCAAGAATCCATATGTATGACCATGACAGCGAGTATAATATATACAAGGGCTTCGCTTCGTTGCCCGATGGCACAACAACGAACCACCAGTGTGGTGCATGCGCAATTCAGCATCATGTCGTGCTGCATCTACCCCAAGTGCAGCCTTATTGGTCATAGGCTGAGGACTATCAACCCTTCACATCCACACGACCCTCGTTAACCCAATCCTGCAAAAGATGGTGAGCATGTTTGGGGTCCGACAAAAAGGGAAATCAGGTCAACAAACCAACTACGACTATGTCCACGGCCAAGGCTCTGATTTGCTTTATGATTTTGTCTAACGTGCATGTCAAGATGATCCTTCATCTTTTTCTTTCCTAGTGTATCATCCGAAAATCTGACACCACACTGCTTACACTGGGCGGGTAATTGATCATACAACAGATTTAAGACATTTCCTGGACATCTGATGGTAGAGAAAGTACAAGGATGCTAAGATAATACTGTAAATGACCAATGTCAGCCTCGCATACTCCTGTGACATGCCACCCACAAAGCACAGCAATGATTGCAGCTAAACCCCAGATGCCACAATCGTGGTTGTTGGTTTGAAGAGGTTGAATCTGAATGAAATGAGACCAGTCGGACTCATCAGGTGAAGAGACTTACATTGAGTTGTCGAGCCACCCATCCTTTGAAGTCAACGGGAAGGTGATACTGATGTTTGTGCGCCAGCAAAATGAGCCAATCAATCAATTTCATTATGTCCTTTTTGTGATTCATTTTGTTATTCGGATGTTAATAATAAGAACATACCTTTACGTCATGTTTCCAAGGCTTTTGATCCCCAAGGCTATCGAAGAGGTGCAACTCTTTGGAGGGCAGGTAAATGGCACAAAATACCCAATGCCCAATGCGGGAGGGTCAATGTATAGGAAGCACCCATATGTCCTTCTCCCAATAATGTGTCCATGAACATTGACGCCAGATGACTTCATCAGGCACATTGTATTGAATGCGTGGAAGCTCATGAGTGGAGAGTATCGCGCAAGAGACGTTGGGAACTTTGAGTTCGGAATAGAGTAGAGCAGCGCAACTGTTAATGCAGATGTCATTGAGATATGCTGTAGGTGAACGGAGAATGTCAATGTCTTTCGGTTCAAAAATCTGATGGGGAAATCCGTCACAGGGAGGTCAGACTTGCGCTGTAAGGGTGCCAGGCATGACAATGTTTGATTCAAAAGCTGGAATGTAGTCATCGATTAGAAGATTCTGGAAGAACAAAATGAGTTACAAAAGCCAGATTTAATTTAAGCAAGCAACTTTACCTTAGAGACATCCCACTGGAGAACGTTCACATCAACAATGTTGCCAAATTTTGTGGTGTCATTGGCATCGTCATGATCTAAGGGCCCCGTATCACCCTCCAGAAGGTCTGCGAGGGCAGCTTGGTCTGAGTTGACACGCGGTATATCTTCAGTGAAAGTTGGATCATCATCACCCTCTAAGTCCGGCGATTCTAATGTAGTAGTATGGGTTGAGGTGATGGTGGTATGCAGAGAGTCGCCAGAAACGCCAAGAACAATTCATTGTGCTTTGTTCACCTGGGTGGCAAACTGTGCCGAAGATGCTAGCGGGTTGGTCCAGCATGATTGAGTCCGAAGGAAGTTGCTGTGGCGCCATTGCAGGGTAGCTGTAAAATGATCACCTGCAGATTTGACATCAGAAAATGAAGCTTAAATTTGATATATTAATACGTACTTCCTGAACAATGAACAGCGAGTTCGAGTGCGGCTAACTCTTCTCCAAAAAAACAGCACAGATTGTCTGCCTCAGTGTGAAGTCACAGCTGTCCTTCTTGGCAGCGATCATGCTTAAGAAGTGCGCGTATGCCATCCCTCACCTCATAATCTTCCAACCACCGAGGTACCTCACCAACTGAAGGGGTGATCCACATGTCTTCCATGAGTGTGGGATCAGCGTGCAAGTCTGCAAGCTTCATTGGAAGAGGTGATGGTAGCGGAATGCCAGAAGATATGTCATAATGGGATTCCAACTGCTCACAATATAAATTAAACTTTCTGATGGCAGTCATGAGGGCGGGTTGCTGTTTGGCTATGGCCTTCCTCGTCCACACCTTTCAGTCTTATAGCACTGCAGAACCTGTTGATAGGACATGTACATTGGCCTGAAAAACCTGATGTACAGGACACCGGCCGGCCTATGCACCACCTGTGTAGGCCAGCCATGCAAAATCCTTGTAGGCCGGTGCCCTAGACACAAAATAATGTCTCTGCACTACCTGTGCAGGCCGATGCCCCAGACACACAATAATGTCTCTGCACTACCTGTGCAGGCTGATGCCCCAGACACATAGTAATGTCTCTGCACTACCTGTGCAGGCCGATGCCCCAGACACACAGTAATGTCTCTGCACTACCTGTGCAGGCCGATGCTCCAGACACACAATAATGTCTCTGCCATACCTATGTAGGCTAATGATGGAGAACTCCTGCAAGCTCATACCTGATATAGAGAATGACATTCCTACATTACTTATATTAGTGAAACCAGCATATTCATGTAGATCTGACTTACCATGCATCCTGGATAGATATGCAGGTTGTCTTGTACACTGTAATCTAACATAAGATTCCATATAGTATTAGGTCTAGCTAACCTCACTCATCTCATATAGGATGATATAGATGGTGACCCAAATTCTATGACATATTGAGAAGAAAAAGTACTGTCTACAACTACACTCCTTACCTAGTGACTAGGCAGGCTAGCCCAAAGGGTCAATATGTTATGAATGGTGGGCTGGCCTAGGCCTACATGCTACACAACCCAGCTGGCCTAATTGGTCAATATGTTATTAGTGGTTGGCCAGCCTAGGCATACATGCTGCACAAACTGGCCGGCCTAATTGGTCAATATGTTATCAGTGGTCAACCGGCTTAGGCATACATGCTGCACAAACTGGCTGGCCTAATTGGTCAATATGTTATCAGAGGTCAGCCGGCCTAGGTTTATATGCTGCACAAACTGGCTGGCCCAATTGGTCAATATATTATCAAGGGTCGGCCGCCCTTGGCCTACATGCTGCACAAACAGGCTGGCCCAATGGGCCAAAATGTGATCAGTAGGGCGGCCGCACCTGATCTACATGCCACACAGGCTAGTTGGCCCAATGGGCCAATATGATATCAGGTGACGGCCGCCCAGGCCCTACATATGGTATAGACTGGCTGGCCTAATAGGCCAATATGTTCTTGTGGGGCAGGCCGTCCTACCTGTGCAATCAGCAGAGGTGCATAGGCCTATTACAACCACCTGCATAAATTACATAGACCATATCATACATAGAGTAAAGTATCCCCAGTGCTAATATAAATATAGACATGAAAATTAAAGTGTATATGACAACAAACTGCAAAAAGAAAATTCTAAGACATTGTGCTAATACTAGTTTCTCAGTCCTCATACTTCTTTGAAGGTACTTTCCCTCTGGCAGAATGATGAGGGGCAGGAGGAGCAGATGTCTTCACCTTTTTCATGGGTGAATCATTCACATCTGTTGCTAGCCGCTTACCCTTTCCTTTTCCCCCAGCTTTAGTACCACTTGCCTTCTTGAATGTAGCAGCCCTCTTCTTAGCCATGTGAGCCACCTCAGCCACTCTCTTCTCCTCAGCCACTCGAGCCTTCTCAGCCACTCGAGCCTTCTCAGCCACTCGAGCCTTCTCAGCCACTCGAGCCTTCTCAGCCACTCGAGCCTCCTCAGCAGCCCTCTTCTCCTCAGCAGCTTTCTTCTCTGCAGCAACCCTTGCCTGCTCTGCTTCCCTCCTCTCTTTCACCTGCCTTTTGTTCTCCAGACGCCTCATATGAACTTCTTCACTCACTGACATCTGCTTCTCATGAGCATCTGGCAGCATTGCCTCCACCTTCACCTGAATTCTAGTAATTGCCTCCTCAATCTTCTCCCCTACCTGAATGCCAAGGATGGAGGCGCCCAAATATTCTGATATGTCATCTCTGGCCTCATCTGCTTCATACTCCTGAGCACGGCGACACTCACGAAGGAGGAGTCCAAGTCCAAGGACAACAATCATACCCCAACCATGAGATCTGATGATATAGCTCTCTAGTTCCTTCAAAGCAGTGAAGGATGCCTGAATATCATAGTGCATATTTTGAGGTAGATATTCCTCAGACCACATCCAAGATGACCAACCAGGCAGATGTTGCTTCCTAGCTTTGCCCTTAGAATCTGTAGTTTGCTTTCAAAAACAAGTCAAATTCAGTGCTGTATCACAAAATTCATGAATTATACATACTGTCTCGGCAAGCTTTTGAACTGTGGCCAACAGATGATGGTATGATGGGAGAGTGGAGAGGGACTGAAGATAACCAACTGTATCACCATCCATATGGAATTTCGGGCAGGAATGGGAAAGAGACAAGGTGTGGCTCGGACCTATTGCCAAGTCTTCCTCTTCATCTGAAGAAAGATTGGCTTGGGGGACCTTCTTCAGTACCTCGTCCTCATCATCTGATAGTTCCACATATTTTCGGTTCTTCCTTGGTTTTTGACTTACATCGCCCTTCTTAGCCAGAGAATCATAGAAGTCACCTTCCTTATACCCAACGAATCGTAAAATTGGTTCATTACGATTAGCACGGAACTTCCAAAGTAAAAAAATGGTGCTGATGGCGTCCTTCTGCAGGTGAGAAGGATCCTTGATGACCACATTCCGAGGGATGCAGTCCATGTCAAGGTAATGGTCTGGATCCTGAGTGATATGACCCCAGGGGACTGCAGCCTGAGGGTTGTTTGAGATGACCGCTGTTGAATGTAAACTGTCAGAAAAATACATGACTTCAAAAATAGAAATAAATCACCATAAGCCTTTTGAAAGACCTTTCGTACAACCTTCTGCTGATTTTTGAGCATGAGAGATTCAAACCCTGTTGGTAGGCGAGGATAACCCTCATCGTCCACATGCACTGTTAAATCGGGCAAGTTCTCATCTTCCTTGTCAGATCGGTCTTCAGGATCTATGCCTGCTGCTAGATCATTCACAAGTAAATCAATTACAGTAGCCAAGACTTACTGTACTCTGCTTCAGTCAGCCAGTCAGCAAGGCGGTCTTGAGACTCTCCTGCCCATTTTTTATTTTCTTTGGATGTGAGAGTAAAATTTTTATTCGACTTCCTGGGACAGGATTCCCAGCTAAGCCCATAATTCATTAATATAAATGTTGATGAGAAAAGAAAACATAACACTGACATGGTTGTTCCAGGCATTTTTCCCTCCCCTCGATCATGAGCTGCAAGAATCACAAGATGTAAACCCATAGTTCTTCCTGCCATCTTTATGAAGTCCTCCATAAGTTTCTTCTGGTGTCGGCCACGGTATCTGTAGATACACATGAGGTTATCTTAAATATATCAATGTAGTATTGAAAAAATACCTGTCTTTGACGTCAGAATGAGCACCTTCATTATTCCACTTTTCGGCCACAAGTCTGAGCTCCTCAAGCACATCTGGTGAGAGGGCATTGTGCCAGGACCGGACAAGCTTTGTCCTTGTCCCCATGGACCTCAGGTCAGAGGTGTCACGATGCTTCTTATCATACTCCCCAATTTCTTCTTTAAACAACTTCTGAGCGACATCAAAAGGTGATAATTCAGTCTTGAATGCTGCAGCATCCAGAGGCTTGTCATCCTCTCGGTCTCTGACCATGTCTACAGTGACAATCCCTGGACCAGATGGGAATTTATGACCTTCCTGTATGATTTTTTCCTCGAGGTCCCGATCTTCATCATCCTCCAGGAACCGCAAGTAATATGTACGAATAGCCTATAAAATTAGATTATTGTAGATATAAAGACACTGGAAACCTACCTTCCGAAAGTTTTTGTCTGGAAGCATTATAGAAGGATCCTTGGCTCGATCAGTTTCAATTATAGTATCCTTGATGGTTTTGAGGATTGTAGCCCTCTTGGAAGTGTTTCCTTTGGCAGAAACATAGGCAACCTTGTGCTCATCCAAAACACTCTTGAATACATGTGTCCAGTCAGCCATTATATGCAAAAGCCTCAAGAACGTAGGCCAGTATAAGTTTGCAGAAAGTGCAACCAGTCCACAACTCACTTGATAACAGATCAACAAACCATGTCACATGATCAAAACACGGTCATGTGCTCATCAGGTGACAATGGTGGGGTCACATGTGACCCCAACATTCCATTGTCACCTGATGAGCACATGACCGTGTTTTGATCATGTGACATGGTTTGTTGATCTGTTGTCAAGTGAGTTGTGGACTGGTTGCACTTTCTGACCAACTCAAACTTAATGACATTAGTTTATACACCAAATCTCAAGATTCAGATATGAAAAACAAAAGATTGCTCAAACTCAGAACAGTGATAACATGAGCAAAGAACAGTGTAAGACAAAAAACATGTAAATTAAGCTAAGTGCGCCTCCAATGGAATATCCAACCAGGTACTACCATTCTTCCTACCAGAATAGAGTACTGTGGACCCTGGTGGCTGAGTGAATGTGTGGCTTACTTTGCAAGAGTCATTTTTGCACTCAAAAATGTAAGCCTTACTGTCCTTGACATAGGCGGACCTCCAAGAATTAACCCTACCACACCCACTGCATTGGATAGGCAAGGGGTTGCCCCAAGGACGGACCTCCACATTAGCCCATGCAAACCTAGAAATATTAAGGCCGCTGTAGAAACAACAATACAGAGAGGAACAAAAGATGCTCCTAACTGTATCTAAAAATGTCATAGGTCGAGTGTTGCCTAGTCTGCGTTACTTGAGGAGACAAGTGCGTTCGACCCTAAAGGGGAAGTGAGTGCAGCAAAGATCTAGAGGTATGCGCTGGAGCGCAGCGTGGGAACACGCGCGCGTATTAGCGCGAAGCGTGGGAAAGCGCGTGCGCATATGCGGAAATGATAGAGACTAAGCTTAAGTGATGATATAATGCAAGATAGAGATGTGAGTGCGAGATGTGCTAATGAATAGGTTTCTACTGCGACTTTCTAGGTATTAAGTAGGTAAGTAAAGATGGGTGAAAAAGTAAGTCAGTAATAGTATGTACTGCTGGCGCTTATATAGCGCGCCTAAGCGCGGTCATGCGGAGCCGAAGCGCTACCGAGTAGGTATGTAAGGATATATATGGGTGAGAGTCCACGATAAAAATAAAGGTGGAACACTATGCTAATAAAGGAAATGGAAATATACGCACTAGGGAGCTTGGTGGACAGTGGATGGATGCATCTGGATGGCTGGCGCAAGCACGGGAAAGCTGCACCTCATATAGGAATTGCTGTGGACAGTACACAGAGTGGTGCTGCGAGTTGGTGCTGTATACTCCCTTAGTGGAAACTGCCATATCACGCCATGAGAGGCATGATTCTCTACACCGCCCTCCTTGACAGTGGTCAACAGAAATATATCAGAGTGGCTGCCTAGGTCCCAGGACTGTGAGAGCATATCCTTGAAAGCTAACTGAAGTGGGCACTGCTCAATGAGAACCCTCTCAGTAAATGAAATGAACAAGTGCGAGGCAAAAGAAGGTTGAAAACGAGGAGCATTGAAGGCGATGGTACCGGTTAATTTGTGTCTGTGGAAATATTAGATAAACCATGTCAAATAAAGGCAAAAAAAAACTTACCGGACAACAGCCTCTTGCAAGCCATGAAATGAGTCTAGGTTGTTGACAAGGGAGCCGCAGCATAGCATCCAGAGATATGATTCTTGGGCATGGTCAATGATACTTTGCCAGGGTTGGAGGATTATATCCAAGAACTGTAACAATAGTCACTATTGGCCAGTTCCAAAGAAAGAAAAATTTACATCATTGACCGGAGTGCTCACATAGCCCTTTGAATCATCTCCATACCCAGCAAAAGGGTCTCCGAAGTCCTCATCAGTGTGAGTGGACAAGCCGATGACAACACGCTCCCAGGTGAATGAGTTCTTCAAACCTTTAATGATCTGGCAGATGTGGGTTCTGTAGGGGGCGAGCTTGACATCAGTACCAATGTCATAGTAGACCTCGATATATTTGATGCCATCGCCGGAGTAGTATGGCTTAAGGAAGCTGTGAGCAAACTCAAATGGGCTACCAGCCACTCCGAAGTCGACAAGGATAAGGTGAATAAAAATGACTGGAGCCGCCGATATTTCAGCATGGGCGGACACCTCAAGTGCACCAGTGACAGATAGGAACTTGTCCAAGAAGGGAAGGCCGTTGCTTTTATAGAAACCCTGTAGTAATGTGATGTTATCAATGAGGCATGAACAACAGACAAAAAAACTCACAAAGTAGGCGGCACTTTGTTCCATCTTAAGATGGCAGCATATGCACCTGAATGGCCAGCACAGTCTCCAGACCTCAATCCCATTGAACATCTTTGGGAATTACTCAAGAGAATGCTTGCTGCCTATCAAGACCCACCTAATGGACTATTTCAGTTATGGGAGAGAGTTGTAGTAGAGTGGGGAAAGATTGCTAAGGAGGAGTGTCAGAAATTGATAGAAAGTATGCCTAGGAGGGTAGCAGCAGTCATTAAAGCTAAGGGAGGAAACACTAAGTACTAGAATTATAGAGATTATGTATAATTGATTCAAACTCAAAAATGTGTCCCAATGAGTCACTTAATTAAAATGGCCATATCTTCGCACGGCGTCAATGGATTCTCACGCTATAGGGGACATAATTGTAGCCGAGAAGCGGAGCTTTTTGGGACCTCCCTTTGACTTAGTCAGATTCTCACACCCTGGCTCGCAATAACACAATTACATGAAAACCTACAAACATTGGGACACTTTTTTGAGCCACTGTATAAGAAGAACAATGTACATTAGCAAATAGAGGAGTGAGAGAATGTGCGCACCTCATTGTGAGCACTTCTCATTTCTAAGTCCTCACTGGTGGCGGCCCTGGTGGCGGTCAAAGCCTTGATAAGAAAGATAAAGTGAATTAGCAGATAGAAGACAGAACATAGACTAACCTCATGCTGACTATTCCTCTTCTCTAAGTCTCCACCTCCCACAGGTAAGGCGCCCCTGGTGGTGCTCAAAGCCTTCATTTTCTGGCGGTCCCCTCCAGAGAGTCGCACTCTTGAGATCTGGAGGAGGACACGTGGCGCTGAGCCACTGGTACATTTCTTGGCGGTATTCTTGGTGCGGGCCATTATTGATGAGGGAGAGTGCGCAAAATGCTAGAATTGTAGACAGTGTTAGCAGAGTTGCATGCGCCACACAAAAACAAAATAAGCACAACTCACATTCAAAAGACGCATTGGAGAAGAGTGGCACTGATAAAAAAGACGTGCTGACAAAAGATCCACTGAAAAAAGAGAGCCGGTAGTCAGTATAGTATACCATGCATGCGCCATACAAAAACAAAATAAGGACAACTCACATTCAAAAGACACGTTGGAGACGAGTGGCACTGACAAAAAGATGCGCTGACCAAAGATCCACTGAAAAAAGAGAGCCGGTAGTCAGTATACCACAAGGCCACACAAACATAAACTTACATTAACAAAGAGACATGTTAGAGAAGAGTGGCGCTAATGAAAAGATGCACTGAGATGTCCAAGAACTAGTCAGTATATCACAAGGCCACACAAAGACAAACTTACATTAACAAAGAGATGTGTTAAAGAAAAGTGGCGCTGAAAAAAAGACGCGCTGAGATGTCCAAGAACTAGTCAGTATATCACATGGGACAAACAAAACAAACTCACATGACAAAGAGACGTGTTGACAAAAGGAACACGTTGACAAAAGAGACACGTTGATGAAAGAAACTTGTGCAAATACCAATCAAAGATGCACGTGATGTCTATCAGCAAAGTCCGATTGTGGACTTATTTGCTCCCTAGGATTTGTGCGCAGGAACGGCCGGTGCAAACATCAACAAATAAACAAACAATACATCAACCGTCAATATTGTTCACATGGTTCATCTTTCTCAACTTCAACCATGTTTCCAACCTCACTCTCTTAATGCTCTATCATCCACTCATATCCTGTGGCCTGTCCTTTGGCCACTTGCAGACTGCAGCCGCAAGTGGTCAAAGGCAGTGCTACTATTAAATTTCAACCGCTTTTAGTATGTTTTGTTTTACTTATGTTTTGTAGTGCTAACTTGCCATTTTTTATTCACAGCTGCGCTTGATAGCTGGCGCACTATCAAGCAAAAGCTTGATAGTGCGCCTCAAGGTCAGTTTCCTTTCCTTTGTTGCAGTACTAACTTGCCATTTGTTATTCCCAGCTGCGCTTGATAGCTGGCACACATCAAGCTTCTTGATAGTGCGCCTCAAGGTCAGTTTCTTTTCCTTTGTTTGAATTGTTTCTTGGCTATCCATGTCTCTAGAGACTGGCGCCTCTTACTTCTCTTTTGTTCTTAGGTCCTTGGCTATCCATGTCTCCAGAGACTGGCACCTCTTACTTTGGGATCTGGGGGATATGTTCCTGGCTATCCATGTCCCCAGGGACTGGCGCCTTTGTCTTGGCTATCCATATCCCCAGGGATTGGCGCCTGACACTTTGAGATCTGGGGGATGTGTTCTTGGCTATCCATGTCCCCAGGGATTGGCGCCTTGAACTTTAGAACACTAACTACATTTCTTTCTCTAGATTTTGCGCCCCTGCATTGTTTGTTGAGCCTGTTTTTTGTGCTTCATGTATACTCATATACTAACTGCATTTTCTCTAGCTTTTGGCGCACCTGCCTTGTTTGTTGAGCCTTTTTTTTTGTCTCTCTTTCCTACATACTCTAATACTAACTGCATGTCTTTCTCCAGCCTTATAGATGGTTTTGGTTTCACTACTCCTGCATTAGTTCAATCTGGTAAGCGCTAATTTCATATTCAGTCTCATACTGACTTTCACTACACTAGATTATCAATTATTCCGTATTTTGGGTTTCACTACTCCTTCATTGGTCTAATCTGGTAAGCGCCAATTTCATATTCAGTCTCATACTCACTCACTACACTAGATTATCAATGACTGCACATTTTTACCTATATTTTGTACTGTAGGGTGCAAGGCTTGGATGGAGAGGGCCCCTCCATCCATGTCTTGCATCACTTACCTTAGTTTTGTGTCTTTTTTAAATTTTCACACTTGTACACTTTAGATTAGATGAAGCAGCGCAAATGTATTGCCCTTGATGGAAATTATTTGGTCATGTGACTCATAACTTTTTGCTCAAAATTTAAGTCACGTGATTGTGTGAGAGTGATATAAAGGGCAATACCGTCCAAAGATTAGAATTTCACCGCTGCAACAAAGGAATAATCCTTATTGCTTAATATTTCAGTCTGTTGTGATCTTGTACTGTAAGGAAGTGAGTTACCAATACATCATGTAATAGGCAACAGAATTTGTATGATTATGTAATATGATGTAATGTAGCTCATTTGGACCCCCAGCTTTCAAAAGCTGGGGGTCCAAATGAGCTACATTACATCATACCACATGACCATGCTTTAGTCATACAACTATGTAGGAAATCACCCATACCCATGACCTAGAGTGGTAGGTCGCCAGATGATAACCCATACCTAACCCACAAACTACTCATACCCATGCTATTGCCTAAAGGAAGATAAGATAATGTTGGCATCCAGTACAAGAATAGTGAATAGTCGGACTATTCTCACATTAGGTGAGTGAGCTCACCCAGTATAAGAATAGTAAACTATTTCTCTGTTCTTGCACTATGTTTTCATGGTTGCAGTAGCAGAGTGCTTGAGAGCAGATGCTGACAGAGCAGCAGATGAGGGACTCTTCACACTTCCAGAAGCACGCCATCCAGCTTTACTGGTCCTCTTAGTGGCAGATGTTTGTACAGTCAGTACAGGATGGTAATCTGACTATTCTCGCACACAGAGTGTACATGAAGAGAGTATTGTCTTCATCACTATTCTTGTACTGTAAGGAAGACACAATAATGTTTGTATGCAGTACAAGACTAGTGAATAATCTGACTATTCTCATACTGAGCGAGTCAGCTTGGCTAGACAGCCTCACAAATCCATTCAATATATCTTTGCCATTTGAAATACTTCTTGCCACAATTTTGGCCTGGCGTTCTGCAAATGGCTCTAAAGGGGCCAAGTTAATCAGACCATATTAGATTATTATGTCACAATAAATTTGCCTTCATATGGTCTGATTGTCTAATTACATCATGCTTAATTCGACCAAACAAGACATTAGCGCAGATCGCGAGAACTTTGGTTCATTTCCTCTTCTTCATAATGGACAACCTCAAAAGCAAGACAACTGAGCTAGTGGCAGCTCTGACTAGGAGGGTTGGAGAGATCATGGGCAATTCATCTGAACTAGGTGTCCTTCAAGATGGTAGAGTTGAAACTGAATTACTGCATAAAGCTAGGTAACTATGGTTTAGTATTGATTGTAGCCGACTATTAATTAATGAGGGAATCAAGGATGAGAATAGCAGTACAGCTTCAGCAGTGCTTGGAATCACCGGCTGATAATTCAACCTTCAATGATGGGTCAATTTCAGAATATGAAATCACCCGGGCCGCCCTGACCATTGCACATGCCATGGTCAACCCCAGTGAGTGAAGAGAAATTTATGGCTGTATATGAATTTACATGCTGAACTACAGTCAATATTGATTGGGATGTGGACCGGTATGCTGATAAGGTCAAATTGTCACCACCAAATCTGGATGGGTTGCCATCTGCTGAAACGGATAGACTGAAGAAGTTCTTCCCTGAAGTAGTGCTTGGCAAAATTTCGGTTCCAACAACAGTTATAGACAGGCACGGAAAATTTTTAGTGGTTTACCTCCCTAATATTTTGACACCTTCTCGCCTAGTATGTTTCTGGTTTGGGATTCCCCTTCAAGGCTAATTAATTAATAATCAGGAGCATGTCAACCACATCACTGTTGGCTTAAGGGATACTCTTCTCAAATCCCTTAAAAATAAGAACACTTGGAGGGATGAGGGCTATATGGTCCCAGATGGTGGGGGGGAGTTTGGGGCTGGTAGAATAACAGTGGTTCCTGCATACTTCATGCAAAGACAAGAGGTATTGTATTTTTACCAAGTGTTTATTTTTAGTCTAATTTTAACTCTATTCTTAGCGACTAATGGATCCATTGGTGACATCAAAGTCTTATAGATCGAAGAAGGTCCAACAATGGATGGCAGCTTTGACAACATCAGAAGTTCTATGGAATGCTATAACTGCTGTGGTGGCGCCAGATCTTTTCCAAGCTGGCATTTCAGCATTTTGTGAGGTCATCAAGGAAGTGCGACGCCCCCCAAAAAAACCTACCCCAGTGGAATATTGGCCCTCAATCTTTTCAGGACTTGACATCATTGCTAATCGGGTCACATTTAGCCACAGAGATGCTGGTGGATCTCCTTCACTGTTAGATCTTCTTGTCAGTTTGGGAAGAAACCATCATGCAACATTGGCCTTGGAAGACCTCAAAGCAGAGCTTGATTATTCTCCTGGAACAATGGTTTATATCTCAGGAAGGGTGCTAGAACACTCTGTTGGACCCTGGCTTAATGGAGAAAGGTTCGTAATTGCCCACTTTATGAAGGATGCTGTGCACAACAGGGTGGGGGTGCCAAGGCCAGGTTTTCCCATGCGGAGCTTCTTTTTAGAGTTAGTAGGAAGGAGGCAGAAGGGTAAGAGGGAGAAAATGTGTAGAAAATAGTAATGGAACATCCCGAAGATATTTGCTGTTTTTTTGGGGGGGATTATGTAGCCATGCAAAAATTCATGTTGCACTCCGGTCATTGTGATTCACTCATAATCTAAATGAGCTCAAAAGGCACACAGAGGCACAATAGGCTCAGAGTAGCTCCATCTTCATCTGATACTCGTTCAACAAAGAGAAAACGGGGTGCTTACAAGTATACATATATATCATCAAAAACTCGAAGGGGAAAAAAATACGTGGAGAGAAGCCAATGCCTCAATTGTCTATGAAGACTCTGATAGCGAAACAGAGCCAGTCTCACCTTTGAAACGAAAACAACAACAACGTACTGAAGATTATTCTCTGGTGGAATATGACAGAGAGGTGTATGGTGATTTCGATATAGGAGGCTCCAATGATATCCAACGAAAAACCAAAGTGAGTTATTTTGACACCATTATCAACAATTTGCTAATATTGCAGACCCAAAATGATTTTCTTCAGCAATACTTGCCTTGTTGTGATGAATATCTTTCAGTGTTGTTGGAGTTGGAACAGCTGATCAACAATGGGAAATGTGAGGATTGTAGAGAAGAGGAGGGCTTTATTCGTTGTCTGTCCTGCTCAGGAGAGCACAGTTGGTGTCCCTCATGTGCTGTCAAACCCACCAGCACCATCCCTTCCACAACCTTCAACTTTGGAATGGCAAGTTCTACCAGTCTACTACTCTACAGGACCATGGATATATCATACATCTTGGCCATGGTGGACATTCTTGCCCCAATTTGTTGCAGCAGTCCAACCCCTCACCCTGGTCAGATCTCGGAGCAATGGAAGATGTGTTTGGACATGGAGAGGGGAATACTATTTATGACACTCAGTTAGAATTGTCCAACCTGGTGATTGTGCATTCCACTGGAGTTTATTCACACCGTGTATCCTGGTGTCAGTGTCCTGGTGCTGATAAGGACAGACACCTACATCTCTTAAAAGCGAGGTTATTTCCTGCCAGCATCACTCGCCCTCAATCTGCTTTCACCTTCGATGTCCTAGATCACTTCCTCATAGATGCTTTGGAGTGCAAGACTTCAGCCATGAGTTTCTATCAAAAGCTATGACATTTCACCAACAATGTTTTCCCTCATAAAATATCTGTGAGCAATTTCTGTATCATTGTACTTCTGACTTACATGATAAAAAGGATCGTTACCGTGAACTTATGCGGGTGTCCCGTATATGGAGGGATTTGATGAATAGAATATGGTTTGGGCATGAGACAGACAGATCTCCTGCACCAGGGGATCTAGCTCTTTATTGTCCAGCATGTCCCCAGCCTGGCATCAATTTACCCTCTTCTTGGAAGGATTCTTATGATGAGTAAGTTTCCTTATTAAAAAATTGCTAAACAAGCTAATTTTGGTGGATGTAGTTGGTTGGTTATGCAAAGATATGTTGTCGATGGAAATTTTACAGCACAACATATGAAGATGAAGACTCCGGAAGATAATGTTTCACTGGCAGATGGAAAGGGATACATGGTAACAAAAGAACCTTATGAAGCTCACATAACTGAATCTATCGAAAAGAATGAGGTAAGTTGTCATATTTCATGACACATTTCCTTGGAAAATAACATCTAAGATAATCTCAGAAATCATCTTGTAGCAATCACCGTGCTGTGAATGCAGCTAATGTTCAGAGAAGCAATCTAAGAGCTACCGGTGTTGGGGCAACAGCATGTGCTAGGCATGGATGTTTTGTTCCTCATTCTGTAGTAGACTTTCAGAAAGGAGAACGGTATGTAGTTACATCATTGTATTACCACCTTTGCTGACTATCTAGTCAGGCAAATGAACATGGACTATTCTATTTGCAATGCATTGAAATATCCATCAGAAAATATTGGCAGTGCACTCATAATCTATGATGTTGCATGCCAGTGGAGTGTCAACTTCCATGACCAGGTGGATCAGAGCTACCACCTATCTCTTCCTCAATCAATCAAAATATTGCCAGCAGTTGGCAAGTTTCATTTGAGTCTCATAAGCTACCATGTTTTGCTAGATACAGCCTCAATTTTATCACAGGAGCTGGTCATATTGATGGGGAAATCTTGGAGACCCTCTGGGCCCCATTTAACAAGATTTCCCCCACTGCGAGATCCATGACTCTCTCTCACAGAAAGGAAGTCTTGGATGACCATATGAGGGATTCTAATTGGAAGAAGCTTGTCGCAATTGGCAAGTGCCTTTACTTTCAAAATGTTAACTTTGACTAACATGACATTTAAATAGTTAAATCATTACTGAAAAAGTATCATCAAGCTGTACAGGGTGTTAACCACACTCAGGGTCCATATGAAGAATTAACAAATTCTCTCAATTCAAATGATGTCCAGAAATGGAAGAAGCAAGCTGAACTAGCAGCTCTTGATCATGGTGAGCTTCTTGACATCTATCAGCTTAAGATGGATAAAGGTAAGTTCGGTAAAATTGAATTTTGGTTGAGTCCTCATTTCAAATCATTAAAAGCTCCAACCATGGCTGAAATAAGGCTGAGGTTGACTGAAAATGAACTGTCTTCCCATGGTAGGACTGGGGCCATTTCGTGGTTGATCGAGGGTATCAATATAGAAAATACTCAGTTAGATATTCAAGTTCACAAAATATGATTGACTCAAATGATATTACTAGAGACACCCTGAGATCTTCTATAAGACAACAGTCAGACAATCCAACTGCTTCTCAGAGAATCATTATAGAAGAAAAAAGACAGAAACTCTTGTCTCGGATTCATAAATTCCACGAAACTGCGGTGGTTATAACAAATGGTATGGAATTAGAAGGGCGAGAGAGATTGCAACATGATGACCCTGAACTGTGCCTGGGGGAGGCTAAAGGACTTATTTTTTCAGGAATTGATGATATAGAGGAAGATGGTAATTTGGACCTCGGAGATGATGCTGACTCTCATCCAGAGGTTGCAGAACTTTGGATGCCGTCATGGGAGGCATCTGATGTCATCATGGATGATGTTATCATGGCATTACAGCAAGAAGAACTAGAGCTTCGAAAGGGTCAAGCAAATGACAGCTTGGAAAAGCTTCGTCAAGCTCTTGGCGACAGATCTGTGATATTTCGGGAGAAATCGCACTCCAACAAATCAGTCCATCATCAGGGTACTAGATCAACAAAGGAACTTCGAAAAATCACCTTGGCCATCAACAAACATGCTCGAGAATATCGCCGATCAAGGGCAGCAATGCAACGATTAGGGGCTGATTCTGATACATTGGCATCATATCAAGTCCTAAAGGCTGAGGACCTTACAGTGAGCAAAGAAGTCACTGAGGAAAATAGGCATGGTCAGGGTTCTGATAGGCTGGCTTGGTTTTGTAGAATCAACAGTGCAGAGGACAGCCAGAGAGCAAGTGGATGAATGAATGTGAGTTTTAATCTTATCTGATTTTTATTAAGGTACTGAGCTTATGTTCTCCATTCCTAGTTTATCGAGTGAATTGGTTGAAAGCAAAAGCATGATATGACCATTGGAGCGAAGAGTTGAAGTTAGTACAGCATGAAATGTGTTGGACAGTACAGTGGTTTCAGAACCAGGAGTCGGAGTGGAGAGCAAGGGCAGATGAAAGCATCAAGAATGGGCATAGGGCATATGCTGAAAAGCAGGCTTCCATGTGGGCTGAGTTTGCAGCTGAGGGCATAAAGAGTTTTGAGGGAAAATGGAGCATGACAAGTTGATATTGAAGATGGCTTCATAATGTAATTACTTGACTTCTAAACATACCAGATGATGTACAGCCAGCCCTATATTACAGGCTGCAACAGCAGGCTGGCCGATGTGGGATGAGTGGCTGGCTGCTGTATACAGACTGCACAGCCTGTCCGGCCGACTGGAGTATGGGTGCCATATATGCCGGCTGGCCCAGAGTTACAGGCTGCAACAGCAGGCTGGCCCAAATGGAATATGACATCATATGAATAGTTGTCCACCTCATACAGACTGCACAGCCTGTCCGGCCGACTGGAGTATGGGTGTCACATATGCCGGCCAGCCCAGAGGTACAGGCTGCAATAGCAGGCTGGCCCAAATGGAATATGACATCATATGAATAGTTGTCCACCTCATACAGACTGCACAGCCTGTCCGGCCGACTAGAGTATGGGTGCCACATATGCCGGCCAGCCCAGAGGTACAGGCTGCAATAGCAGGCTGGCCCAAATGGAATATGACATCATATGAATAGTTGTCCACCTCATACAGACTGCACAGCCTATCCGGCCGACTGGAGTATGGGTGCCACATATGCTGGCCAGCCCAGAGGTACAGGCTGCAATAACACGCTGGCCCAAATGGAATATGGTATCATATGAACAGTTGTCCACCTCATATAGACTGCACAGCCTGTCCAGCCGACTGGGGTATGGGTGCCATGTATGCTGGCCGGCCCAGAGGTACAGGCTGCAATAGCAGGCTGGCCCAAATAGAATATGGCACCACATGACTGGTTGTCCACCTCATACAGACTGCACAGCCTGTCTGGCCGACTGGGGAATGGCTGGCCCAGCACATCAGGCTGCAATATAAGCAATAAAACTATTGCAATGTTGGCATGATAAAGCTGTGGTTGATGTAGCATTCATGTAAGCAGTCCAGATTAAAAATAGCCATGACCATGTACAAAACAAGTTTGGTGCATGTCACTATCCAGGAGGCTGAGGTATAGGTGAAAGCCAGGCTGGCTGGCCCAGTATTACACACTGCACAGCTTATCCAGCCAGCTGGGGTATACCACACAGCTAGGCCAGCCAGCCCAGTATTACAGAATATAACAACAGGCTGGCCCAGCCAGACTTGGCTGGGGTATAGGTAAAAGCCAAGTTGGCCAGCCCAGTATCACATATTGCACAACCTGTCCGGCCAGTGTAGGAATAGGACACAGCCAGGGCAGCCAACCCAGTATTACAGGGTGCAATAACAAGCTGGCCTATAAGGAATCTCACAACTAGTCTCCTCTAGTAGAGTAAGTCTGATTATCTACTGTTCAAGCCTCACTCATTTCAGATGCTCACCTTCCATATCTATAAGCGAGAGAAAGTGGATTGTTTCTGTGGTGAATACATCATTTTACAGAAACAATCCACTTTCTTTCGCTCATAGATATAGAAAACAACAGGCTGGTCGAGCCTATGTATTTCACCTTCTATATCTATAAGCGAGAGAAAGTAAATTGTTTCTGTTGTGAGCACATCATTTTCATGGCAATGATATACAAGCACCAGAAACAATCCACTTTCTCTCGCTTATAGATATAGAAGGTGAGCATCTGAAATAAGCATCATGAAAATGATGTGCTTACTACAGAAACCATTCATTTTCTTTCACTCATAGACATAAAAGGTGTTGCAGCCTAGAATACTAGGTCGGCCACCCTGGCTGTGGACTATTTCCATGCCGGCCGGACAGGTTGTGCAATATGTAATACTAGGCTGGCTGGCCTGGCTTTCACCTATACCTCAGCTTGCTGAAGAGTGACATGCACCAAACTTGTTTTGTGCATGGTCATGACTACTTTTAAGCTAGACTGCTTACATGAATGCTACATCAACTACAGCTTCATCATATCAGCAAGTCTGATAAGATTAGCCAAGTTTGGCTAGGCCAGCCTGTTGTAACAGCCTGTAATACTGGGCTGGCTGGCCTAGCTATGTGGTATACCCCAGCTGGCTGCACATAATATAGTAACTTATACCCATCTCAGACGGACAGCCCAGAGTGACAATGTACCTATAGAGACAGGCCATCCCATGTGGGCCCATGGCAATAATTGTACCATGGTAGACGAGTGGGCCGAGTGAATGTGTGTACCCGAGACAAAGGGATGGGCCGAGGGTATATAGTATAGACAGTGATATAGAAATGTACTAGTATATAGGACATGATGAATGGTGAATCAGGTTTACAAATTACAATAGAGACGGGTGGGCTGGACAAATGTGTGTACCCAAGGTAAACAGATGGGCCGGGGGTATCCAGTTCACAATGGAGACGGGTGGGCCGGACAAATGTGTGTACCCAAGGCAAACAGATGGGCCGGGTATAGTGGGTCTGGTTCATCTAGCATCAGGTGAATGGATCATCCGATAGGTATATTATCAGGTAGGTATATGGTCCGGTAGGTATATATAACATACTACTGGCCGGTGCGATTTTAGGGGTGGTTTGGTTGTGTCAATCAGTTCATATTTGAGTGAGATATGGGCAATACAAAAGTCTGTGCTAATTGACCGGGCAGGTGGATATCAGGTTGGATTGACCGGCTCAGGTGAACCAGTCCATATGCCACATTATACTACCTGCCGGTGCAATTTCAGGGGTGGTTTGGTTGTGTCAATCAGTTCATATGTCATTGAGATAATGTCAATACAAAATTTGGTGCTAATTGACCGGGCAGGTGGATATCAGGTTGGATTGACCGGTTCAAGTGAACCGGTCCATATGCCCCATATACTACCGGCCGGTGCAATTTCAGGGGTGGTTTGGTTGTGTCAATTGGTTCATATTTCATTGAGATACGGTCAATACAAAATTTGGTGCTAATTGACCGGGCAGGTGGATATCAGGTTGGATTGACTGGTTCAAGTGGACCGGTCCATATGCCCCAATATACCACCGGCCGGTGCAATTTCAGGGGTGGTTTGCTTGTGTCAATCGGTCAATATTTGATTGAGATACGGGCAATACAAAAGTCTGTGCTAATTGACCGGGCAGGTGGATATTGATTTGAATCAACCAGTTCAAGTGAACCGGTCCATACGCCCCAATATACTACCGGCCGGTGCAAGTTCAGGGGTGGTTTGTTTGTGTCAATCAGTTCATATTTCATTGAGATACGGGCAATACAAAAGTCTGTCCTAATTGGCCAGGCAGGTGGATATCAGGTTGGATTGACCAGTTCAAGTTGACCGGTCTATATGCCCTAACATACTACCGGCCGGCGCTATTTCAGGGATAGTTTGGTTGTGTCAATCGGTTGATATTTGATTGAGATACGGGCAATACAAAAGTCTGTGCTAATTGATCAGGTTGGTGGATATTGATTTGAATCGACCGGTTCAAGTGGACCGGTCCATATGCCCCAATATACTACCGGCCGGTGCAATTTCAGGGGTGGTTTGCTTGTGTCAATCGGTTCATATTTGATGGAGATACGGGCAATACAAAAGTCTGTGCTAATTGACCGGGCAGGTGGATATCAGGTTGGAGTGATCGGCTCAGGTGGACCGGTCCATATGCCACATTATACTACCGGCCAGTACAATTTCAGCGGTGGTTTGGCTGTGTCAATCGGTTCATATTTCATTGAGATAATGTCAATACAAAATTTGGTGCTAATTGACCGGGCAGGTAAATATCAGGTTGGATTGACCAGTTCAAGTGAACCGGTCCAATGCCCCAATATACTACCGGTCGGTGCAATGTCAGGGGTGGTTTGCTTGTGTCAATTGGTCAATATTTGATTTAGATATGGGCATTACAAAAGTCTGTGCTAATTGACTGGGCTGGGTGAATATCAGGTTGCATTGACCGGTTCAAGTGGACCGGTCCATATGCCACATTATACTACCGGCCGGTGCGAGTTCAGGGGTGGTTTGGGTGTGTCAATTGGTTCATATTTTATTGAGATAATGTCAATACAAAAGTCTGTGCTAATTGACCGGGCAGGTGGATATCAGGTTGGATTGACCGGTTCAAGTGGACCGGTCCATATGCCCCAATATACTACCGGCCGGTGCAATTTCAGGGGTGGTTTGGTTGTGTCAATCGGTCAATATTTGATTGAGATACCGGCAATACAAAATTTGGTGCTAATTGACCGGGCAGGTGGATATCAGGTTGGATTCACCAGTTCAAGTTGACTGGTCTATATGCCCTAACATACTACTGGCCGGTACAAATTCAGGGGTGGTTTGCCTGTGTCAATCAGTTCATTTTTGATTGACATACAGGCACAAACATATTGCATATTACATACAAATGTAACTGATATGGAGCCCCCAACACTACCAAGGATGTTATTGGTGATCAGATACTTAGGATATGTCCTATATATGTCCCTAATTATGGTCCTGAAGTTTTGGAAAAATCCCTGAAGTATTTAATGCAAGATAAGGAACATAGGCTTGACATAAGACAATTGACCCCTGTCACTGAAAGTCACTGCTATATCATACAGGTCGAAGATTTTATGAAAAAATGTAGTAGTATATATAATAGACTACCTAATGAACCTACACTACACATTTCCCTGCAGGTAGAGTGTTTTTAGACAAGTGTGGTGAAGAAGTATTAGGATTGGTGAGTAAATGTCTGACTACTACATGTACACCAAACTGGTGAGTTTTGATGTTGTGGGCTTTGGGGGTTTCCCACACTCTATTTCAGAGGTATTTCACTGCCCTAGCTCTCAACTGTTAGTGGATCCTTCTAGAAATCTAAGACCATAATGTTGACCATGCTTAGAATATATTGCAAGCATCTGATTACTAGATCTTGTCCCTTGTCAAATGTAGGCCCCTTATCAGTAGACATACCCTCTTTGCCTTAGATAACAATGTTATGCCATATTTCTAACTGATCCTTGGGATGAGAAGTAGGTATATATGTAGTAAAGATAATATATGAGTAGCCTGGATCATTTACACAATGGTAAAGTAGGGGAAAACACCAAAAATGCAAAAACTATGATCTTAGAGGTTTGAGCCTGTATAGAAGATTCCTGTAGGTGTCATGATGTGCTAACCTGGTGGACATACATCTAGGAATGGTCCTTATATCTTCCTGCAGCTGTGTTCCTGCAGGATAACTTTTCGCAGAGGATGAACCACCAGGAGAAGGTGGGTACACAGGATCACAAGGTCTTGTCCTGTGACCCCAAGCTCCTAAGACATTGTTTCTATGTTAGAATAGATGTTGGGGACAGTATTCACAAGGAAATATACCTAGAGATACAAATATGCAAACCTATTTTATGTTTTCAACCGGTCCCAAAATACCAGTTGCAAAGTGGCATATCCTCTGAATTTGGGACTTTCTTTTGTAAGGCTTATAACCTTGTGAAATCTTAACCATTTGCATGATCAGACCACCAGCAGAATTGTCTGATTAAGTACTACATTGCCACAAGAAACCGGTCGCAAAAATATCGGTGGCAAAGCTGATACAACATATCCTCTTCTGAATTGATGACTCTCTTGCAAGGCTCTTAACTTTGTCAAATCTTAACCATTTTACATGATCAGACCACCGGTGGAATCACCTGATCAAGTACTACATTACCACAAGCAACTGGTTGCAAAAATACCGGTTGCAAAATACTGGTTGCAAAGCTGATGGTCAGGTAGTTTGAAGGTCCAGAGGCCTGGTGGAAATATGGATGAGTCCACTTCAACTGGTCAATTTCAACTGATATCCACCTGCCCGGTCAATTAGCACAGACTTGTGTATTGACTGTATCTTAATCAAAAATGAACCGATTGACACAAGCAAACCACCCCTGAAATTGCACCAGCCGGTAGTATGTTGGGGCATATAGACTGGTCCACTTGAACCAGTCAAGTCAAATCAATATCCACCTGCCTGATCAATGAGCACAGACTTTTGTATTGACCATATCTCAATGAAATATGAACCGATTGACACAACCAAACCACCCCTGAGATCGCACCGGCCGGTAGTATAATGTAGCATATAGACTGGTCCACTTGAACCGGTCAATCCAACCTGATATTCACCTGCCTGGTCAATTAGCACCAAATTTGTATTGCCTGTATCTCAATCAAATATTGACCGATTGACACAAGCAAACCACCCCTGAAATTGCACCGGCCGGTGGTATATTGGGGCATATGGACCGGTCCACTTGAACCAGTCAATCCAACCTGATATCCACCTGCCCGGTCAATTAGCACCAAATTTTGTATTGACCGTATCTCAATGAAATATGAACCAATTGACACAACCAAACCACCCCTGAAATTGCACCGGCCGGTAGTATATGGGGCATATGGACCGGTTCACTTGAACCGGTCAATCCAACCTGATATCCACCTGCCCGGTCAATTAGCACCAAATTTTGTATTGACATTATCTCAATGACATATGAACTGATTGACACAACCAAACCACCCCTGAAATTGCACCGGCAGGTAGTATAATGTGGCATATGGACTGGTTCACCTGAGCCGGTCAATCCAACCTGATATCCACCTGCCCGGTCAATTAGCACAGACTTTTGTATTGCCCATATCTCACTCAAATATGAACTGATTGACACAACCAAACCACCCCTAAAATCGCACCGGCCAGTAGTATGTTATATATACCTACCGGACCATATACCTACCTGATAATATACCTATCGGATGATCCATTCACCTGATGCTAGATGAACCAGACCCACTATACCCGGCCCATCTGTTTGCCTTGGGTACACACATTTGTCCGGCCCACCCGTCTCCATTGTGAACTGGATACCCCCGGCCCATCTGTTTACCTTGGGTACACACATTTGTCCAGCCCACCCGTCTCTATTGTAATTTGTAAACCTGATTCACCATTCATCATGTCCTATATACTAGTACATTTCTATATCACTGTCTATACTATATACCCTCGGCCCATCCCTTTGTCTCGGGTACACACATTCACTCGGCCCACTCGTCTACCATGGTACAATTATTGCCATGGGCCCACATGGGATGGCCTGTCTCTATAGGTACATTGTCACTCTGGGCTGTCCGTCTGAGACGGGTGAAATTCACTGAATGGGCTCCTGGCTAGACTGGCTGGCCTAGCTATGTGGTATACCCTAGCTGGCTGGACAAGCTGTGCAGTATGTAATACGGGCTGGCTGGCCTGGCTTTTGAATGCTACATCAACTACAGCTTCATCATGCCAATATTACAATAGTTTTATTGCTTATATTGCAGCCTGATGTGCTGGGCCAGCCATTCCCCAGTCGGCCAGACAGGCTGTGCAGTCTGTATGAGGTGGACAACCAGTCATGTGGTGCCATATTCTATTTGGGCCAGCCTGCTATTGCAGCCTGTACCTCTGGGCCGGCCGGCATACATGGCACCCATACCCCAGTTGGCTGGACAGGCTGTGCAGTCTGTTCACAGTGGTGATGTAATACTGGGCCGGCCGGCCTGGCTTTCACCTATACCCCAGCTTGCTAGACAGTGACATACACCAAACTTGTTTTGTGCATGGTTGTGGCTACTTTTAAGCCTTAATGTTCCTCACTTTGAATCTTTTTGGACTGCTTACTTGAATGCTACATCAACCACAGCTCAATCACAGTTTGATTATCCCAACATTGCAATGGTTTTGTTGCTTATATTGCAGCCTGATATGCTGGTCCAGCTGACTAAAGCATAGATCACAGCCAGGGCGGCTGGCCCAGGACTGCAGGCTGGTCTATGTAAGCTGTTCACCTCACACAGATTGCATGGTATGTCTGGCCAACTAAAGCATAGATCACCACCAGGGCGGCCGGCCCAGGAATGCAGGCTGCAAACACATGTTACCCCATGTGGGATGGAGCATCATGGGCAGTTGGTTTATGACTTTATTTCACTCATGGATATAGAAGACAGGCATCTAAGAGTATGGGGTAGACTGGCACAGTGTATCACATCATTAAGAAGCTCATTGAAAACTCCATTTCACCAAAATTGTAGCAGGAAGCAGCAATGCACAGGAAATCTTTCTTGACTGCAGCCTCAAAGTGATATTAAGTGCATTTTCTATATACTACAGGAAAGCAGGCCTAATGCACCATAGGGTTGAAGTAGGCAGGCAGGCCATGTCATACACACAGGACAGGATAAGCTTAGATATTGGCCAAAATACAATGTCCAGCTGGCCAACACCCCCCCTCAAAAAAAACACAGATGCAGCAGGCTTCATTATCATATGGGAGAAGAAGGTCGGCCGGCCAGGGCATACACACTGCCCAAGGAGGCTGGCCCATTTGCTCAAATGCATTGTTCAGCCAGCCGACACCATCCTACAGACTGCAGGTGCAGCAGACCTGATGCACCATGTGGCAGAAAGAGGCCATCCAGCCAGGGTATACACACTGCCCAAGGAGGCTGGCCCATTTGCTCAAATGCATTGTTCAGCTGGCCGACACCTTCCTACAGACTGCAGATGCAGTAGACCATCTCCTGCAATGGTTCTGCACCATCAGCCTATACAGGTTGTGCAAAGATGTCATTCTTTGGATGAGACATTGGCCTACCAGGGTTCTGCATGACCGGCCTACACAGGTAGTGCATAGGCCGGCCGGTGTCCTGTCCATCAGGTTTTGCAGGCCAATGTACATGTCCTATCAATAGGTTCTGCAGTAGAAGTGACTGAAGGGTCTGGCTGAGGATCATTTTTTGAAGTCTATCCACCTGGAAATACTAAAATGAGAACATATTTTGTATTTTCTCATATATATGCTATATCTATTGATGCAGAAGGCTCCAGGAGGTAAAATAAAGATGGGAATCTCTTCATGTATACTCATAAACATGTTCTGAATAACCTGGGACACTTCCCTACCATAGGGGCAAAAATGCGAAAGTATTCTGTATCCTATTATATGTTAAATGGTCTCTGGAGGAGGAGCAGGTACATAAATGAGCAAAAAAAGCAGTCTATTATATTATATTATACATATATATTACAAAATACTACTTATATATGAAGGGGGACCTGTTGTGGTGTAGTGGTGAAGCTGCAGTGAGGTGGGGAGGGTGTGGGAATAATTGATATTGTGGAGATTCCAAAAATGGTCGATGTTTTGGGCATTGTGGGGTAATTCCCACGCTGTGGGGCTAAAAATGCGGTGTGGCAATATTGTGGGAAGTCCTGACGAGCCAAATAGGAGTGAATTTCTGCTTTTAAAAGCCAGGATAACTATAGTAAAGTATGTATCACAATTTATGGATCATTAATCATATTGATGTATCTTTCTGCCATCATATGGTGACCCGATAATGCACCAGTACTAGCATTGGCTATTATAATTAATAGCCTACAAAAGCTACCATATAGGCTACACTAGTACTATGAGCCCAGTCGTCAAGATCAGGCACAATAATAACTATGGGCCCATCCATGTATTACCTCTACAATATGCCCATGGGCCCACATGGGATGGCCCATATAGTATGGGTCATTGTCACTCTGGGCTGTCCGTTGTGTTAGGGGGTTTGGCATAAGGGACTTCTGAGGGTCTGTCCAAGGTGTCAGGGGTCCTGCCCGAGCCTCGAGGTCCATAGGTACATATAGCTAGAGCATGTCAGTAGTCATCTTTTGCCCATTCCAGTTGTCCTGTTCCTTCTGTCTGGTCTGAGTGCCACCTATCCACCGTATAGTACGGGTATGATTCACTGCAGTATGTGGCTTGCTATCATAGTTGATGCATCATCATGACGGTATAGCCTGTCTTCGGAGAACGTGGAAGATGATTGCCGTGATGATGCTCAAGGCAAATGGATGATACCTTGTAGTGCTGCCGCGGTCCGGTTCTGAACCATGGTTCGAACCTGACCAATGGTCAGGTTCATCCATGGTTCAGTCCACGGTTCTCCATTTTGGCTGGACCGAACCAAAATGAGATTCACGGTTCGCTGTTCCTGGGATGGTTCGGTCATGGGTTCGGACCTTCCCGAACTGTTCTGAACTGCGAACCGAAACTTCGTCGATATCAATGAGTGACTTCCCTTCCACACTCATGGGTACTTCGACTTCTGGGATCCTTGACATCTGCATGAACTTCCAATTCTGTCCGGACATTTGCATTTCATGCTCCCAGTTGTCCAATCTGTGCTCCCGGTTGTCCAATCAAGCTCAAGGTACGAATTAACTGTCAATCAAGCTAATAAACTAACTGATATATAACTTTGATATATTTTCCAGGATTCTCCAATGCACATGGCGGAGACTGGCTGTTTGTTCTGTCCTCAAATAAAAAGAGCAATCCCCACCAGGTGAGTCGTATCTCCTCTCACACAATGTTAGAATCTGATGCATGTGCTCTCAACGCTGATGGTTCTCTTAAGGATGCCAAGGATATCGTGTTTTACAATGATCCTGACGACACCATCCCACTTTGCACTCAATCCTCTTCCGAGTCTGCCCCCACAGATGCCTTCTCAGTGTTACTGAGGGCTGGATGCAAACCAGCACCACTGACTGCAGGTGCTCAACGCTCAATTTGCACCTCTAAGCCCTCTGCCCACCTCCGCGATGCTGATAATGCCTGTTCTCACCAAGCATCCAGCTCGTTGACAAACCACAAACGTGCACGTGCCTTATCCAGTACTACTACGGAGCCACTAGTCACAAAAAAGGTTGTGTTACAACTTGCAGCTCCATTATCTGATGATGACGACTCTCATGTCCCTGGTGCTGACACGGATTGTGATACTGATACTAATGATGCACCTGCTGAAGACCAACCTGAAGACAAAGAGGAGCCTGAAGATGCAATCGCCCGAAACACGCTGTCAAAGAGTGAGCGTAGTGCTGATGTTCGCACTATCTTCACTCGCCATGACAAAGAGTGGGTATGCAAACCGTGCAAGTACATATTTAGCTCTACATGTGTGGTACTTGCTAATGTTTCCTAGGGATGCTGGTGAACCCAAAAGCAAGTACACCTTTCGAGGTGGTATCTCCACACTATGCACTCGTATTTGTCGGTATGTTCATCTCTTCAGTCTCTCAAATGAATTTTTACTGATATCTATAGTCAAAAAAATCATTTCCAACTGTACAAGACACACTGTGAAGCTGCAGGCATCACAATGCACCCTCGAGCGGTTCCCACTGGCGAAGCTCAATGTCTGTGAGTTACACTCGCACATCATGTATTGTATCATTGCTGATTCATACGTAGTTCAAGGCAATCCACCCTCAACAGCAACCTCGTTCCAAAACCACCCATGTTTAGCAAGGCTGGGCTGCTCGAGTATATAATGGAGCTTATCGTCACTGAAGATGAGGCCTTACAGCTCATTGTAACACTCAGGCTGGCGCTGGACACGTATCTGGTGATAAACATGTTTTATATTCCTCGACACACTTCCGACCTTCCGAAAGTTTTGCACGCCTGTCCGAGTCGTCCGAAGGTCGTCTGTCCATTTCTGAGGCCTTTTCTAGCTTTTCCGATCCTCCGTACCATGTCCTGTCCTTGTCCGTTTGACTTTGCTGGTGCGTTTTCCATTTGATTATCTGTTATTGATTATGTCTAGGGGCACATACGTCGAAAACCCTTGCTAATATGTATAGATACGCTCCTCGTGCATTATTACATGTATATCTTCGTAGCAGCTCACCTTGAGTCTTATTACATTCGGATGTCTTATCTCGCTACAGTTTTCGCCTACGCAGATTCCAGACTTTCACGTCGTAGGATATATTCTGGCTCGCTAGGTACTCGCAGGACACTTCACTTCCCTTGCTTCGAGTCATAGTTAGTAGTTGTCACTTCTGGGTTTTAGTACTTCGCAATCGATCTTTGTTCATTCGGAACGATTGTTTGGCCTCACTGCTGCCATTTTACTATTGAAATCCTTAAGTCTTCCGACGGACTTCGCTAGTTACACTACGCAAAGTTCTATACTTCGATAACTGCCATACTACTTTACCAGAAAACCTTGCCGTTTCATTGGAAGCTCGCCAGAAGCTTCGCGCAACCTCAGACCTTCGTTTCTAGACGTCAGACCTATACCGGATGCTTCGGACAATTCATCAGATACTTCGGACTATTCTTCGGATCTCTGAACGTACTAGAGGTATACCTCTCTTCTCTCACCTTTGATCTTAACAAGATATCCCTTGCATTTTATATCAAGAGATAATCCTACAGGCAGTCCCTTGGGACGAACATCTCACTCGCACTTTGGAGTCTTAAGGTAACACCCTTAGTATAAGCCCACTAGGAATCAACTCTTTACATCGTCAACAAACCAGTGTTCCGCAGGTTGCTCTCCTATGTCCGCCCTGCCCTTGTTGAAGGTGATATCCCTCACCACACTAAGCTTACCGAGAGCATCAAAGCCCATGCACTAACTGTAGTCGATGCCATTCGTGAACATCTTGCGAAGGTGGACAGTCAGGTCTCGATGACTTTCAACTCCTGGACTTCTATCATTGGTGACCCTTTCTTCAGCATTACTGGTCATTATATCTGGAGCCCGGATGACAAACCCCAGCAATGGGAATTATGCCGTGAGCAACTTAGTTTTGACCACATCGAGGGCAATCATAGTGGCCAGAATACTGTGCGCTTAATTGTTGATGCCATTGACACATATAAACTACAAGATAAGGTAAAGTTTAGTCTACATATCCATGCTGAAACTGATTAGTAGTTATAGGTTGAGTGGATGACCTCTGATAACACCACCAACAATGACACTGCCATGAAAGAAGTTGGACGTCAGATCGATCCTGATGGTACCCAATGGGCACCTGATGCGCATCGCATCAGGTGCCAAGAACATGTTCTGAATCTCGCTGCTCGACACTTTGTTGATGGAGTTTCGCCCACTCCGCAAGCAGCTCTCGTGAAAAAGATCTGTCAGGCAGTTGATGATGGCAATGATGCTGAACTTGACACTTTGACTCAAGAGCTTGCTTCCATGGAGGTTGATAATGACGATAATGACGGTACCTCGTTTGATGCTGGTGATTCACTTGGTAAAGCTCTCACACTCATTGAGCAGGTATGTCCTCTCGTCATTAGCCTATACTTGTTGATAATGAAGATGTTCAGATCCAAAAGTCGCCTCAAGCTCGCGCATTTTTCCAAAAGGCCTGCCAGGAGGAGAATGTCCCTCAACTGGAGTTGTTGCAGTGGGTCAGAACTCACTGGGCTTCATTATACAAATGTCTGGATCGCATGTTAATCTTACGTCGTGTGAGTTTTTTCCTTCAATGTTTGAAAAAGGTCTGATGTGTATATTCAAATAGGCTGTGAATCGTTTTACGAACCTCGCGGATGAAAGCAAAGAAGTGCTGACTCTTCGCAACAAGTCTTACAATGACTTTAAGCTTGACCGGGCTGATTGGAAACACCTTACACTCGTTCATCAAGTCCTCAAGGAACCAGCAACTGCTCAGCAATCATTCTCGTCAGCAAAGCATCCGACTGCATGGCGCACAATCCCTATGTTGGAGTGCCTCGCCGATCTATGGAGATCTATGGCAGCTGATGTGCAATATGCACCAATCGCTGATGCAATTCAGCAGGGCCTCAAGAACGTCGACAAGTACTTCAAGAAATCAAGTGAATCTGATGTTTATTTCATTTGTCTTGGTGAGTATTTATTTTTCTATGACTCATGCATATCTAATATAATTTAAGTTCTCGATCCGAACTATAAGCTCACATACATCGAAGGTCGGTGGCACGCTCGAGAGGTTGCAACTGGCAGGGCTCGCTTGGAGGCTGTGGTAAGTACTTGTCTACACTGTTGGTTCTTTCTTTTGATTTCATTTTCAGTTTGATGACTATTATACGCCGCCGAGTCCTACTAACGACCAATCTGCTCCACTGATGAGACCCGCACACACACACTATGGTGATGATTGGATGTGTGAGGCTATCAAGACACGTCAAACGAGGGACCATCTCACTCACAATCCCCAGCAAGAGCTCACCGCTTACTTGTCTTCGGCGTTAGAGTACAATAATGACATTGTTGTCTGGTGGGGGTAAGCAAATTTTTTGACTCATTTTCTCGCTACTTAACCATCTCTTAGCTTCACTCGCTACAGTACCCTACACTTGCACGCATCGCACGAGACTACTTACCCATTCAAGGCAGCGCTGTTCCATCCAAACAAGTGTTCTCAAGTGGAGGAATCACTTCAACTGTGCGACGCAACGCACTTGCAACCTCCACATTCAGCGCACTGCAACTGTTGAAGGGAGCATATAGGAATGGGCACCTTTCTGCTGCAGCAGAGGCTGAGGGACATGCAGCTTCATTGGATATGTAGTATGTAGCTATCAGTACAAGTACTTCGATTGTTTTTTTTCGCTAGCTGCAAAAAAATTTGGGTCCGGTTCGTGTTTGAACCAGAAAAAAAACCGAACCTGACCGCTGCGAACTGTTCGCAAAGGTTCGGTTTAAGGTTCATCGATAAAGGTAGAACTGGACCTTGGTCCGGTTCTTGGTTCTCATCAAACTGCCTCTGAACCGGACCGAACCGGACTGCGGCAGCACTAATACCTTGTTATGCAGGTAACACGTTCTGATGCAACCGGAGCTGCAACTCTCGCGACCACACGAAGATAAGATTATATGCTCAATGCTGCAGTTTGTGATATGACACAATCATCATTTCCCATATTAATGTCTTTGCTAGTGTCCACAGGATGCTGCATTGCCTGGATCGCACATCTTATAAATGACCACAGCTAAGCGAACTATTGCCATCAACCAGTATGACAGCTTTGCAAGTGTCTCAAGCTGACGTGCTCTTGTGATAAAAGGTGAGTACAACTTCTGTAATCAAGGCAATCCTGTATCACCAATGTCTCGTCCCAGTACTATTATGGTATGGGTGTTGTTCATTAAATCAATTGCTTTCATTGATCTATGTTTCTTATTCTGATAGTTGCATTAACATCGCTTTGGGTGAGTTATAGAATCTATCTCATGACCTTGCAATGATTTATTGTTTTCTTTAACATCAAGACATACAACTGCATACTTTGCATGTCGGACTCGGCAAGTGGAAATTTGCTTGAACGCCCTAGTATATACTCTGAACTATAGTTGACACAGGTTGCTTTTATTCTCGATTCTCGGCACGGGCTTGGCACGCTGTTGTATCTCAAATGCAGCATCACTCCATTTATCTTCATGCTACTGAATATGATTGGTGAGCATCAGATTTGCATCTCCATATCGTCCTCAAGGTGTAATGTGTCCATGTTCTGCAGTGACTTTTCTGCCTCGTGGTTCATCCACTGTATGGTCAGATATTGCAAACATGTGAATTTAACTCATATCCTCATCATAGCTTTGTCGCTGGATATATATAGCAAATATATGTGGGTCTAATGATGGTTTACCTCAATGCATGCTGACTCTGCGTCTAACACCTCATTAGGTGTGGGGTTTCTGTTGATGGTTGACGCTGAGTGTGGGTTCATCGATCGAATTAGTTGTTACTGATTATGTGTTCTAACATCTGCATACATCTCTAATGGTTCAGGCATCTTCATACTTAGAACAATTGCAGTATGGGAACGGGAGAGAAGGTTTATGGTGTTCAAAATCATCAATATGATTGTGAGTCCCATCCCAGCAGGCTGTCGCCGACTCTTAGAATGATATGTCTGACTCATCCTCTGCAGGCCGTTTTACTCCCGATTGACATCTGCTTCTTTCAAGATATTGTCCCATCAATGGGTGGGTAGATCTTTCAGAACATTCACTTGCTCAGCTCGCGACCTCTAATCTATTGATAAAGGAGAATGCTCAATCCCTGGGGGTATTATATATCTTGATATGAAGGCAAGGTCTTCAGTGATTGCCATGTACTGCTTGCTAGCTTTTGGTGAGTTTGGTCGGTATTAGGAGCTGCTACTTGAACATGAATTCAAACTGACTACACGCCCTTGCATCCACGTTCTTTCAGAATTATTGGCATTGGTGCTATATCGCGGCTTCGAGAGTCATGGTGGCTGGAAGATCAAAACCCGTCTTATGCGTGGTCTCATGTGACATAATTTATTGTACTTTAGCTGCAGCTTTGGTTCATGCCCAGATCATTCTTGGATGCATACTTACTTGCTAAATGGCACAGCTTTCTCTCTTGGTGTCATCCTCGCCACAATCTTCCTTCCGGTGAGTCACTGCACGCTGAAAGCCGCCCCATTGATGCGAGATGTAGTTTTCAGTCAGACACATGATTGCAGAGTTCGTTCAATCTTGCTTGGAGGAAGCGGTAGTTATTAATTGGACAGCAGGACTCAGGTCGTTGCTCTATCTCTCTTGGTCACACAAATGCACAGGGACTTCTGGAATTCGGATCGTGTTTCTTCTGGTAACAATGGAGTGGATCTCTCTCTCTCAGCGTTCATGGCAGCAACCCCAGATGTTGTGTGAGTGTACAGTAGCTGCCCCTTCAAAGCATCGTGCAGCTAATATATGATCGAAAAAAGATTCTCAGAGGATGCTAGTAGACCTTCTCCCAACAATGCATAGGGCAGACAGGTGGACGCTTGAAGGAATCATATTATTTCAATTATGTACCCACTTGCTATGGACTACTTCGGGGTTTTGAAAGCATCAAATACGTTTTTGGTATGCAGCTCACTGGCTCTGTTCAGCCTTGACAGTTTTCTTCGATACTCATCGGACACATCACAAATAAGCATGCACCTGTCGTGTCTGGCAGTGCCTATATAAACTTATGGATTATGACACATTATTACATTGTATTGCCACTTGAGAACATGAGTTGCGAGAAAGTAAAGGTATAATTGTATTACAAGAATAGTGATATAATACAACAGGTGTCTCGCAAGTCGTCGCAAGTGTTCTATCAGCTAGGGAATCAAAGATTTCGCAGAAAGGGAAATTTAAAGTTCGTGAAAATTGTCTAACCAAAGATAAGCACAAGTAGACTCCAGTCTACTTCACTTTGAAGGACGAGCATGAGCAGACACAATAGTATTTGTGCGATCTGATGGATCATGCCAGTGATGCCACCACGCTGCTTCACTGCTCAGGAAGGAAAATCAAGGAAAATGAGAGAAAGAAAGCAAAAACAAAAGACACGCCATCAAAAACGAGGCCACACACAAGAAAGCTATAAAAAGTCTTCGCATTGTCAATGAACAGGCACTGAAAGCTACCCTGATAAGCCCCAAAAGACATTGAACGCACCAATCTATCCAGCAGCGCGATATCATGTACACCGTGAGCCTTGCTTCTTCCACTGCATCATCGGTATTGTTATCTTGACCTTCGTTCACAGATCACTGGAGTCCTTGTTTTTCAGCACTGAGGCTCGAACAGCTGTGGAGGCGGCAGCTCATGAGTTGCACTGCGATTGTACTCCTGTAGCCTGGGTCTAATTCAGAGCATGCAGGTGCCAATGCAAGCCAGGAGAGTGCAAGTGCTGAGCACGAGTACTCAGCGAGTGGAGTTCTCGCACCGCTGCAGCATTATCTCAGCCTCCACACACCTCTCTGTCTCGAGAATCGAGCAAGGCCATATGTATACACTCGCATCTGGCATGGGTATCAGTCGTTATGATGCAATGGGACTTACTGAAGAATGTAGCAGCTGCGGTAAGTGGCTTATGGCGAGTGTGTAATGAAAGAAGAGCAAATAGGAAACACAAACTTGGAGACCAGTGCAGCGACACAGCATAACGTGATGGACATAATTGCGACCAAGCCGGCGGTATCTTGTGCGTAGATAGGGCCAATTGAGGGTTAAACTCCACTTTAATCTGGCTGGGCGGCTGCATCTGCAAAACTGTGAAATGAACACTTAACAATATTTAAGTTCGAAGCTATTACGACCTCTTACGACTTGCTGATTCTGAGCTCTGATTGGTGGAGATGCAGATGGCGACACGTAAGTGTTTGCAATGCCCAAAGATTGGTTTTATCGCACACAAGATTAAATAAAGACATGATAAGATGCGCTGATTTCAATCTACTACAACTACTAGACACCAAATGCTACTGCTAGTGTGTGGTAGAGTTCTTTGTCAGCAAAGTTATTGAGAAAATAGTCGTTAAACATCTCCATTGAATTGCTCGAGTTGACCTCCTTGGCTAATAAAGTGTCATACACAGGGATCAGTTCCACCCCATGAGTGATATCGGTGATAGGAATTATAGAACTACATCGCTTTCTGGACTGTGGCTGTGAGACATTGTGGAAGAATGAGCGCGTGAGTCTCCACATCCCCGTCATAGGCTCAGGTTTGTCTCCGATGACGTCGAAGTGTTGAACATACGCAAGCACCTGATCAAGCGCAGGCGCTTCAATGGGCAGTGCAGTTGGCTGGAACACGGCTCGGACTTGGACTACACAAGGAACTGTGAAATGAATCTAATATTAATATATGTCAGAAAGGTTCTACAAGAACGCACCATTGCTCCTGTTGTTCTGAACGAGAACAGTATCACAGCGGCCATAGGAGAACTCGCTGGAGGGGGGTTCAGCTTGCAACAATTGACTAGGCATGATGGTGCGCTCGTGGAAAGCTGAATGTAGCTGAATTCGAAACTTGAACCAAGCATTCAAGAGTATCCGGCTGCTATGCATATTGAGATCTCCATGGTAGTTGATTGTGAAGTAGTGGTAGAGAGCCTGCGAGAAGTCAACAAGGTCATATAGCGTTTGAAGCTCAACGATGGTCAAGCATTTGCGATCGGGGTTGATGGTAACGTTGAAAGCGATTTTCGCATCATTGGACACGATTCCTTTCAAGAAATGGTTGCGTACTGGGCATGGGGCATGTAGGCATCGTTGAGCGTCTGGATTTACACGAGAAACCCAAGCTAATGCTGGGTCTACCTCTGGACCAGCTACTTCGTCATCTTCCGTGAAAACAACATTGAGAAGAGGGTCATTGCTAGTGCAACCAGAGGCTGACACTGGTGATGAAGCTAGTAGGGTGTAAAGCTCGAAGAGACGAATTGTCTCCTCCCGTTCAAGGATCCGCGTGATTTGTTGAACAAAATCCTTCTGTCGACTGGTCTTCTCAAAAGGGTGTTTGCAGTGGGTGATGAGAAGACGTTCTGAAACATCTGCTGAGTATTGAATGAGGGAGCCGACGTGCGGGATTGCGCGAGCGAAGCTCTGCATGAGCTCTAGTTTGGGGATGAAAAAATCGTCCTTAGCTCCACTTTTCCCTCGTCGCGCCTCTGCATCGATGATAGCTTGCTTATGTTCGTGAAAGACAGAAAGCGCAGTCGACATGTCCTTGATTGATGTGTCAGTATGAACCGGATTTTGTGCGAGGTAAATGAAATCGATCATCGCGCAAACTGCACGAATGAATTCAGGAGTTACAATTCCCCACATTGTAGGTACTATGGTGCGCTGGATATTGCGATGCTCTCTGCCAGTCATTTGCTTGACATGCGAGACACCTGACGTGAAATGACGCACACCCACATGCTTATGCTGACTCCGAAATCGTAAATCAAGCTCGTGTCCCATGGTTTCCTTGACCCACTTCAGGACATGGTCAAAGAAGAATTTGTGCAGAGCGTGAAGAATTTCTGGGGTGAGAAATGTCGCCGTGTTTGCGTATTTCCAGTCTCTCCAGAATGGTAGGTGGATGCCGCTCAGGTGCAATTTATTCGCCTCCTTAAGGAAGCTAAAGAGATCCCAGGGGTCAACCCTATCGCAGAGCTTGCGGATGAGCTCATATGTATCGACTCCATTGCGTGGAGGATATGCTATGGCGTCCCCAAACTCCTTCTGTGTGGCTGTAGTGACGGGAGACGAGTTCTTGGAAACACATGCAATCATAAGTTGTTCAGGAAGATCGGCGATATGGCTGATGAGAGGGGTAAAGCAAAAATGTCTATGTGCTGAAGGATCGACCATGAATTCGCCGACACGTGCAGCGATCTTGAGTTTTGAGCAGACGAGGTCGACACATTTGTGCCACAATCGCGTCTGAAGAAGAGTCTGATCATCGCCATGCATGTGATGTAGCTTTCATTCAGACATCAGATTGGATGTTTCCGATGGTCATGAATAATGGGTGCATTTCTAGTCCACCGGTGTGTCGTGTGATGGGTGTCTTGTCCGAAGCGGTGATAATTGGTACGATAGTCGCACCTTCAGGAAGCTGGTCCTACGACATTTGAGGATCAGCGATGCGGCTAGGAACGAAAATAAATGCATGCCTGTATATTCCAGGCATCATCTGATGTCCAGAACTCTCCAATTTCACGCTCTTGTCCATTGTAGATATGGTGAGGGTCGTAACACATGTGATTCGCGTACACTGGATTGGAAAAAAGCTGCTTCACAACTTCTAAACTGTCTCTCCAGATGAGGTGAATCGGCTGCTCAGTCTCATAACCCTTCAGATGAAACTCAGTACACTGCCATTTCGGTCCACATCCAGGAAGTTGCTCCAAGTAATAGAACAACTCGTCCTTTGATTTGAATTGTGGTCGCTCTCGTGTCTTGAACTAGGAGACAAAACAGATGCTAGTCAGACCAAGAGACTGAAATTGACACAAACGTACCCATTCCAACTTCAGGAATTGCTCTATCTGAGTCTGTGAGAGATTCTCAACTAAAAACTTCGCTAGTGACCATTCTCCTGGGCCATCGAATGGGTACCATGGGTTCACTTGTCGTTCAGGCTGAAGGCGATGGTCTTGCATTTCTTGAAAGAGATTATGGGGAGGTGGATGGTCCGGGAGAACATAGTGGTATCCAGATCTGGGGTGATATTGTGCTCGTACGTTGCTTTCTGGCGCTTGTTTCAATCCTCTGGGTGCAGGGAGTATCGCGTTTTGGCGATAACACGATCGATTAAGATGGTCCACGACTGCCTCATGTGAATTGAAATGATCATTGCACAGTGGGCAAGACACACTGCCAACATCAGTCCTAATACTGGGATCAGTGTCAGGCCTCGTGCTGGTAGAGTAAGTAGTGGTAAAGCATCAAATGACCCATGCTAACCTTGAATGAGTATCACCAAAATCGTAGGTAGACTCTTGAAAGAATCCGGGACCGAAAGGGTCATAGTTTCTGGGCTGGGACTCTAGCTGCGGGGCGACCTGTCCAACTGAATGCACAGCGCCATAGTACTCCATGATGGAAAAAGTGCTAAGTCTTTCGAACTCCGCTGTGCGTTATGCTCTCAACAAACGCCGTATACTCACATAGGGGTCAGCAATATTTAAGAGTGCTTTACATGTTGTACAAAATGCGAAAACAATACTTCAAACTTTGAGTGGTCGAAAACTCCATGTATCTGTAGACATTTTCACCTTTGATTAAGTAACAAATATATAAATTGGCATACATGTCTAGCTAAACTTGAAATTTTGGCGGTCAAAGTTTTGTCAAACATTAAAACCCAGTGTCAACAAATAAAATGTAGTTAGCTATACCCTACAGTATAGTAGGTATAGCCAACTACATTTTCTTTGTTGACGCGATTGCTTTCCTTGGGTTAGCTACACCTATACTGTAGGGTATTAAAGATGTTTTCTTTGTTGACCGAAGAAAACATCTTTAATACCCTACAGTATAGGTATAGCTGACTACTCTAATAAGCGGCCCATGTAGTTAGCCTACCTATACTGTAGGGTATTAAAGATGTTTTCTTTGTTGACCGAAGAAAACATCTTTAATACCCTACAGTATAGGTATGGCTAACTACATGGGCCGCTTAGAGGCCAGCCCACCCCCAAAACTGTTCGTGTTAAGAGTTCTGTCTCAGGGGTATTAAGTTAGCTATACCTATACTGCAGGGTATTGAAGATATTTTCTTTGTTAACCGAAGAAAATATCTTCAATACCCTACAGTATAGGTGTAGCTAACTTACCTCTGAGGCAGAACTCTTAACACAAACAGTTTTGGGGGTGGGCTGGCCCCTCTAAGCAGCCCAAGGAAAGCAATCGCGTCAACAAAGAAAATGTAGTTACCCTGGGTTTACAAAATATATATTTGTTACTACTACTGCGCTTGAGCTAAGTCTTTCGAACTCTGCTGTGCGTCATGCTCTCAACAAACATATACTGTGCTTAGATATCAAGTGACAAGCACGCACTCGGGCAGCCATTTATCATAGATGTCAAGACTGCAAACCAATATGCGTTCAATCGACAGTCAAAGAATGAACACCCCCAGAAACTCCAACAGAAACTCCAAATTTCTCAACCCTCACAAAGCCACTCCAGTCTCACACAGTCAAAGGACTACTCCCCCCCCCCAAGAAGCCCCAGTATCTTTGATGACCCGCCCAGAAGCTCTTCTCCACTCAGCAGTAACTATCTATCCTCCCCCAGCAAGTACCACAACTTAGATTTGGATGGGTCTGCTTCCTCCGAGGAATCACTTCAAGCTCCTGCTGTCCTATCAGGACAGGTCGGGCCACTCCGTGCCCAAAAGAGACTTACACGGCCTACATATGGACCTTACAGGCGGAGTGCGCTCTCTGTCAAAGATGAACACAAGTTCATGAAGTTGCTTAGTAGACCTTACTGTGGCAACTCTAGTGATACCGAAGATGGTACCATGGTAATCAGGCTGCGACTTAGGAGGTTCTCAATGATGCTAAGTTTTGTATTTCTAGGATCAACAAGTATTTTCGCGTGGCTTGGAATGCTTTGATCAAGATGGAGTTCGCTACGTGATCACATACAAAGAAGCTGCCCGTGAAACTCAATGGGCTCGTTTTGCTGTGTCCCAGTGGGAGATGGAGGAGGCCTCACAGCTGAGACGCCTTCGCGAATACATTCATGCAAGGGAGAGAGAACTTCTTCATGCAAAAACCGAAGAAGTCAAATCATTTATGAACATGCTGGTTGATCGGGACAATAATCAAGTCACTGCTGACCTTGATTATCTTGTCACGTCCCACGAATCCGAGCGTATCGCATTGGACGACCTTGACAAAGATCTAGACACTCTCACAGACCATGCCTTTCACACCGGCATTCCGAAGCTGTTATCAGCTGATTCTAGCGAGGATCAATCCAAATTCGACGACACGGGTGATCACAAACACGAGGCCAATGGAGGTTAAACGTTCAGGTTGCGCATGTTGTTCTCTTTCAAGGTGTGTGACAACTTTTCCTGCCAGACTCTTCGTCCTTACGATTTCCAGCAAGGTTGTGTTGGTAACTGTGTTTTCCCGCAAACTGTTCAACATTCTACAATTTATGTAGCTTCCTGAATTTCACCTTAAGCATAAAAGGCGCCCATGGCACCTTTGAATTTCATTCGTTGTGTATCAGTGTTTGTACTGCGTCCGGCACCTCATGAATATCATTTAACTTTGTTCCTATCAGCGCAGCCAATTGTATGTAAGTCCATGAGTAAGTATCGATAATCGCATCTCTTTTGCACTGCTACCACGATGTCGAATGCCCCCCCACAATGTCGCAAGAGTCGACGATCTACGACAAAGGTGCGTAATCCGTTTGAAGAATCTTCTACCAGTAATAATATTTCATACAGAATTTGCCTGTCATTCGACAGGAGGGGTACAATATCGCTGGAAATCCCTCTACCTCACAGCTAGGTAGCACAAGCGATGTACCACGACATATACGCTATGATACTGACTCCGCCCAAATCGTCTACCAAAATCCGGACCAGCAACACCAGCTCGTGCACAAGCACCAGCAACACCAGCTCGTGCATGAGCACCAGCAATACCAGCTCATGCACCAGCACCAGCAACACCAGCTCCCGCACCAGCACCAGCAACACCAGCTCCTGCACGAGCACCTGCAACACCAGCTCCCGCATGAGCACCAGCAACACCACTATTATGGACTTACCTACCCTTCCACGAGCAGAACATCTTTTCCTCCAAGTTTTTGCGGCGAGGTTAGCCGCCAGGCTCCCAAATTTCAAGTGGCCTATAGCCTAGCGCCAATGCGCTTCCAGGAGGAAGAGTTTATGGATGGTGTTGTGTATGTAAGTATCCGCAATCTTGATGTTCCTATTGCTGCTGACCGTAACAGAGGGTAGGAGAATCAGGCATCCAAAGGAGAATCACACGAGAATACGCCCTCCCCCCAGTCAGGCCACCACGAGTGGTAGGTTCTGTGTCAGATTCGTCTGGAGTATCCGCATCTACATCAGTGCCGGTGTCAATGTCCGCATCAGCGGCAGGATCAATGTCTGCGCCTGCACCATCAGTTCCCGCGCACATTCCAGCGCCTGCACCATCAGTTCCCGCACACATTCCAGTGCCCACACCATCAGTTACCATGCAAATTCCAGCCCCCAAATCGGTTGTGTATTCACATAGTACAGTAACTTATACCCGTATTAGACGGACAGCTGAGGGTGACAATGTAGCAATAGAGGCGGTGTAGAGAATCATGCCTCTCATGGCGTGATATGGTAGTTTTCACCAAGGAGTATACAGCACGAACTCATAGCATTACTCTGTGCGCTACCCGCAGCTATCTCTATATGAGGCGCAGCTTTCCCACGCAACGCGCGCCATGCGCGCACCATTCCCGCGCTTCACGATGTATACGCGCGCGCGCGTTCCCGCGCTTGCGCGCCCTATAGCGCCAGCCATCCAGATGCATCCATCCACTGTCCACCAAGCTCCCTAGTATGTATATTTCCATTTCCTTTATTAGCATAGTTCCACCTTTATTTTTATCATAGTTTCTCACTCATATATATTTTTACATACCTACTCGGTAGCGCTTCGGCTCCGCATGAGCGCGCTTAGGCGCGCTATATAAGCGCCAGCAGTACATACTACACGGGACCTACTTTTCCTACTTTTCACTTACTAGTTACTACCCACTTACTACTTAGCAGAATATAGTAGAAAGCTATTCCTTTACATTTTGCACTCTTATATCTCTTATCTTGCTTTATATCACTACTTAAGCTTAGTTTCTCATTTCCGCATACGCGCGCGCACTTTCCCGCGCTTCGCGCTAATACGCGCGCGCGTTCCCGCGCCTTTGTACCTTGCGCGCTCCTGCGCTTTCTCGCGCTTCGCTTAAGCGCACACTTCTAGATCCTTGCTGCACTCACTTCCCCTATAGGGTCGAACGCACTTGCTTCTCAAGTAACGCAGACTAGGCAGCGCGCGACCTTACAACTTTTACAGATACAGTCAGGAGCTTCTTTTGTTCCTCATTGTATTGTTGTTTCTACAGCGGGCCAGCCCATGTGGGCCCATGGCAACAATTGTACCATGGTAGACGAGTGGGCTGCAGGGTTGTGTGTACCTGTTGCAAACGGATGGGCCGGTGGTATATAGTGTAGATGGTAGTATAGGAATGTACTATATAGGATATCTATGTAAATAGTAGTGAATGCAATGAGCTATAGAGACGAGTGGGCCGGCTGAATGGTGTGCAATGTAAATGAGTGGGCCAGGGAGATGGGTATGATGGGGACGAGTGGGCCGGGGGTATGAAGTGCAATGGAGACGGGTGGGCCGGTGTAGAAACAACAATACTGAGAGGAACAAAGAAATGCTCCTGACTGTATCTAAAAAGTTGTAGGTTGTGCGTTGCCTAGTCTGCGATACTTGAGATGGCAAGTGCATTCGACCCTAAAGGGGAAGCAGGTGCAGCGGAGATCTAGAGGTACGCGCTTCAGCGAAGCATGAGAAAGCGCAGGTGCGCGCAAGGTACGAAGGCGTGGGAACGTGCGCGCGTATTAGCGCGAAGCGCGGGAAAGCGCGCGCGTGTAAGCGGAAATAAGAGAGACTAAACTTATGTGAAGATATAAGCAAGATAAAGGATGTGAGATGTGTTGTGCTAATGAATAGATTTCTACTGCGACTTTCTAAGTAGTAAGTACTAGGTAAAGTTGGGTGAAAAGTAAGGTAAATAATAGTATGTACTGCTGGCGCTTATATAGCGCGCCTAAGCGCGCTCATGCGGAGCCGAAGCGCTACCGAGTAGGTATGTAAAAATATATATGAGTGAGAAACTATGATAAAAATAAAGGTGGAACTATGCTAATAAAGGAAATGGAAATATACGCACTAGGGAGCTTGGTGGACAGTGGATGGATGCATCTGGATGGCTGGCGCTATAGGGCGCGCAAGCGCGGGAACGCGCGCGCGTATACATCGTGAAGCGCGGGAATGGTGCGCGCATGGCGCGCATTGCGCAGGAAAGCTGCGCGTCATATAGGAATCACTGTGGATGGTACACAGAGTGATGCTGCGAGTTGGTGCTGTATACTCCCTAGTGTAAAGCGCCATATCACACTATGAGATGCACGAGTCTCTACACCGGTATGCGAAGTACAATAGAGACGGGTGGGCTGGGATGAGAAGTACAATTGAAGACGAGTGGGCCGGGGGTATGGGGTGCAATGGAGACGGGTGGGCCGGTATGCGAAGGACAATAGAGACGAGTGGGCCGGGGGTAAGGGTGCAATGGAGACGAGTGGGCCGGTATTTGAAGCACAATGGAAGACGAGTGGGCCGGGGGTACCGGGTGAAATGGAGACAGGTGGGCCTCATGATATTCCACCCGGTGGATAATGGAAATATTTGCCGGTATGGATGATACAGATGAGCCGGAAGAGCGTTGTGGGACAGAGGTGAAGGTGAGATGGATGATACAGATGAGCCGGACTTCCGGTGTGTGAGAGGTGAAGGTGATATGGATGATACAGATGAGCTGGACTTCCGGTGTGCGAGAGGTGAAGGTGAAATGTATGATACAGATGAGCCGGACGTCAGCTGTCCGATAGAGGTGAAGGTGAAATGGATGATACAGATGTGCCGGACCTCCGGTGTGCAAGAGGTGAAGGCGAGATGGATAATACAGATGAGCCGGATGTCCGCTGTGTGATTGAGTGAAATGGATGATACACATGAGCCAGAAGGGCGTTGTGTGATATACGATGATGGAAATACCATCCAGTATAGCAACATTCTCACTACTAAAATGCAGGTTGTGTGATTATATGATGCATTGTCTTCAACATTGAAAGCACCAAAGCTTGACAACACAATGTAGACAACTAGTACATACGAAAACATGAATGATATAGACTAGTATTATGTTGGCCTGTCACCGGAAGGCTTGCTTGGATACCTAGCACTCACTGACCGACCTTGGTGCAATAGAGGTCCAAAGCGCGGGCATGGCAAAGGAGCTGAGACGGACTGGGAATCAGCTGGCACATTTGATGGCCCGGCGACCGGGAGAATAGGAGATTGCACAGGTGGTGCACCAACCGGAGGAACAGATGGGCCGGATTCCCTCATGGTCAGTGAAGGGATGATGGTGGAATTGGATGGCACCCGGTTGTGCCTTGCAACCGGTGATCCATCTGCAGTATCACCCAACATATCACCACCGGTCTGGGCACCCATCCAAGAGACATCCGGAGTGAACACATTGTTGGTCACAGTGCGAGCAAACGCACTGATAGATGGGTCATGGGCTGTCATGGGGGGTGGATTAAATGCCGGTGGAGTTGATGCTGTGACCTAAGTAGATCTTTGCTCCCTCAGATACCTCTTACTTCAGCCGTGCACTCAGCAAGGAGTCCCTTCTGCACACGCATATCCCGCCCTATGTCATCAATCTGCATGGACATGGCGCTATCAGATGCCTCGGCGATGTCCATGCGATTCTCCAAGCGATCATGCCGGACGTCAATTTCCATTCGATCGTGTGTGCGCAGTTCTTCCATCTTGATGCGAATTTGGGCCAACATGGCCTCCATCTCATCATGAGAGAGAGGGTATTGGGTGGAATGACCGGGTCCAGAAGGAGAGACAGGAGAGGGATGGTTGAAAACGACCGGTAACGGCGAGAACCGGATATTGTCCTCCGAGGCCATGGCTGGTGATGAAGGTGGCATCTCATCATTGCCGGGCTCCACCCAATGATCAGGAGGGAAATTGTGTGCGGATGCCAAAGGGGCCGGTTGTTGTGCCGAACCGCCGGCAGCAACCATCTGGACATCATTGACGTTGTCCTCCTCTTCGATAGGACTTGGGTGCTGGATATCCTTGCCTACAAGAATACATCAGAATGGACAAGTAACCGGAAACAAAAGACTTGCCTTTCGCCTTGGATTTCCAACTCATCTTCTCTCCGGTGGCTTTGGACCGGATGGTCTTGGAGCGAGTGGCTACTGCGACTGCAGGTGGTGCAGTGACGGTGATGGGGGTAATGGTGTTGGCAGAGGTGGTGGGTGCGCTCTCTGTGTTAGTCCGGATGCATGCCATCTTCCACAGATAGCACAATGAGCAAGTTGAGGCGATCTCGCCTTTCTTCGTCAATCGGGGGAAACACTCGACATTCTTGGCCAGACATCTATCACAAGGCGGATGGGGTTCATCAACGCGGGGCTATGGAGAATTAGTATGGTGAAGCATGGCATTGACCGGAAGACACACCGGTTCTGGCACTTTGCCCTTGCTGGTGGCCTTGCCCTTGGGCTGCATGGACTATTCAATAATGTTAGCGTTGTATATCACCTGTGCTATGACAAGCAAATCCTACCAGTTTTTGCTGTTTCCCTGGTCTGACAGTGGCCTGCATCGTGATGAGTGATAGACCGGTAAATGTGAAGTAAAATAATGAACTTGCCTTTGGCCTGCCTTGTGTATCATCATCCTCATCCTCCAATTCATCCTCTTCATTGTCCTGAATCACAACCCGCTGACTTGCCTTCGACGCACTGCCCTTCTTTTTGACAACGATGACAGCCTGACGAGTTGATTTCCGGGGCTGCTTGTTGCATTAGTAACGTTGAATATCTCAAGAAACAAACACACCTCAATGTCCAGAAGATCATCCACATCGATCCCCTCGCCATCCTCATCGCCATGATCTTCTGGTGCCTTTGCCTTCCCTTTCCCCTTCTCCTTCCCCTTCCCCTTCCCCTTTGCCTTGTCATTGTCGGTAGTGTCAGTGTCAGACAAAATTGCCTTCGACTTTGGTGCAGGCTTCCGGGCCCGGTTGACACGGGGCAAAGGGGGCTGCTGAGCCGGCGTTTCTGGTTTGTTGATGTCCTGGCTGTTGCTGTCCCACCGGGTGGCACATCTTTAGGTATGTGAATGCTGATGCGTGGTGCCGGTGTCGGTGCAGAGGCTGGTGCCGGTACTGGAACAGGTACCGGTGGTGGGGCAGGTACCGGTGGTGGGGCAGGTACCGGTGGTGGGGCAGGTACCGGTGGTGGGGCAGGTACCAGTGCAGGAGTAGGTACCGGTGCAGGTGCAGGTGCAGATGCAGGAGCTAGTGCAGTCACAGGTGTGAGTACAGGTTGCATGAGGAGGAATATCCTTACCAGTAGCTGCAGGTGAAGCAGGCGGCGCATGACCCAATGTCTTACTGTACAATGGATGCTTCATGCACATATCCTGATTGTTACCAAGATGGTTCCAATCCGGTACTACCACCAATTGTGAGGTGCGCCTCTGAGCGCGAAAGATCTCAGCTGCAAGTGACAGCAGGCCAGGGGGAACATATGAAGCGTCCCTCCCATATGAACGAATTGTGACATTCTGGGACCCTAGTATCAATACAGGCAACCGACAGGACGACAAACATACCACTTCACAAGCAATCTCGTGGCTCAACTCCATTTTCTCATCCTGAGACTGCAACCGGAGAACATCTTGAACCATGTCATCGAGCCGGGCGACAAGAGCAATGAGAGCCTGGTTGGCAGCCGCAGCAGAAGCAGATTGAGAAGACATGATAGTGAGACGATTACAATAGAGCTACTGGACAAGTCACCCGGAAGAGACGTGTAAAACAACAACACTTATAAAATTTTCAATCACCGGCTAGCCGGGCCGAATCGGACATATCCGAGTCCATTGTTCGCCTCATTGTTGTCAGTCTATTTTTAGATATAAATGTCTCATTGTTGACACGTCATCAGTAATCAATTGTTGCCAACCAACCTGTGAGTACATCATCCGGTCGCAGCCTTCTGTAGAACATTGATTCTTCCAGTGATATCATGAAGTCCGTGGATTTGTACGACCCATTCCAGAAGAAAAGAAGGATGCGATCATCGGCGATTGCTCAGCATAATATACATGTATCTAGTGAGGATGTAGGTAAGAAACCATCACCTCCCACAACGTACCGGTTGATATTATCCGGCATCCCAGTTCATAGCATCTTGGAGCCAAGGAGAGAGGAGCGCACTTACTACAACCCTTTCATGGTGTGTTCAAGCATGGGTGAATGTGAGTTCATCTCATGCTAAGCGATGGTAAGGACAATTGATATGAATTTTAAAGATCTAGATGTCCCGTCAGCCCATGACGGGTTGCAAGACAGTAAAAGATTGAAGATGGTGAACTCTGAGCCAGCAGATGACGACCGGTCATTGGACCTGGGATTTCCTTTGTCAGATTATGACCGGATGACTGACAACCACGACCAACAACAATCAGACATGTTGGATATGCAATTTCCCACCTTGTCTGATGATGACCGGTCAAATGGTGAGATGTTGGATTTGGGATTTCCTCCACAGCCGGATGATGAAGATGTGCTCGATTTGGGCTTTGATATTGACCTCTGTGATCCGGCCGGCAACACAGGCATGTCGCTGGAATCTACATCTCATAAACTGACACTCATTTGAAACGATATTTGACTAGAAGACGGGGCTCTTGACATGGGCTTCGACACATATCTGGCAGATGATTCGCTTGATAAAGGGACTAATATTTCACCGGAAGAACACCCTTTAGATATGGGTTTCGAGATGGATCTGGTACGTGTTGATCCGGATCAGTCTTGTAAGCCTTCTTGCTGTTCCCGAGATTGTTCTGATCATTTAAACTTAGTCGCCGTCAGTCGACAGGATCCAGTTGGATATGTAATTCAACGGGCTGTAGGTGATTTGCACGAGGCAATGCACCGGTTGCAGATGGACTGGGCTGGTAATGCAATGTCACCGGACGAAGCCTTTGCTAGAGAGCAAGTTCTTGACTGTACACAAGAGTTATTGTTGGCATGTCAACTGATGTCGATATCTCGACTTTCAACGTGAAGTATATATTTATAGTCAAATGCTATCTACACCTATCACTAGAATACTTGCTTACAACGATCCAAATTACTACGATTGCATATACTGAGCTTTATAAGAGGCCTTTGTACTTCTATGAGAGTGCTTTGGCTCTGGATTGGTTGTCTGTGCTTCAGATGCTTTGGCTTTCTTGCCGGAGCCCCTTCTTGGGGCAGGGGGTGTTGGTTTGTGCACCGGTGCTTTGTTAGTTTTATTCTTGGCATAGACACCTGATGTAGGGCCAAATGCACGACTTCTAGAAAGATGTTGTGAAGGCAGAGGATCATTGTCATCATTACCAGTTGATTGTGCAGAACCAGTGCTGGTATTGTCTTCTGCCTGTCCCCTTCCACTTGCAGTCAGCTTTGATTTCTTGACTGGTGGCGGACCATCTGACTCCAAATCAGATTGAATGGGAGCAACCCTACCCCTCTTTTGGGATGATTTTGATTTAGGTGGTGGTAGGACCGGTATGGATCTCTTGACCAGTGGGCGAGTATCTTCCTCCTCTGAAGCCGGACACGTGCTGCAGACGGTATTGGTCCATTTGGCCTTTGAAGTTGGTTGTGGGACAGGTATGGATTTCTTGACTGGTGGGCGAGTATCTTCCTCCTCTGAAGCTGTACTAGCCCTGCGGATGGTATTGGTCCGTTTGGCCTTTGAAGGTGGTGGGACCAGTATGGATTTCTTGACCGGTAGGCGAGTATCTTCCTCCTCTGACGCCGGACTAGTGCTGCGGACCATATTGGCCCATTTTGCCTTTGAAGGTGGTGGTGGGACAGGTATGGATTTCTTGACCGGTGGGCGATTGTTGATAGATTTCGACTTTGGTGGTGGTGATTGGAGGTTGTCATCGTGATAGTGATCGTCGTCCTTCTCCTCATCTTCATCATCCTTGTCCTTATCCTCACTACTAGACACCGGTTCCACCCCCCTGGTGCGCCTTCCGGTGGACTTTTTCACTGGAACCCTGGGTCTTGCATCAGAACCATTGCCGGAGATTATCTCTGCCGGTTCTCTCATTGTCTTATCATCGCCTTCCCAGCCTTTAAATTCAAAGGTTGGGCAAACCTGGTCCTTCTGTCTTTGACACCACAACTCTAACAGCCGGTCAGCATCAGCCAGCCGAATCTTTGACGGATCGTCGAGCCTCCAGCTGGTAGGTAAAAACTTGGCTGCAATAAAGTCACCCTGAGCCATCCTGACTGAGGCCCAAGGAACAGACGCCTTTGGTTGTTGGCTGCACAATCCTGAAAAATTGCTGGTCAGCGGATCAACTCTCCAGATGCATCATTTGTGAAACTGACTGTAGTGCTTTGTGAGGAAAGTCCTTATAAGATGCTTTTTGCTCTCTAGGTTAAGCTCTGTGACGTCCGGTATGACCAGCAGCCCATAGCTATCCACCTCCAAAGGATAATTGTCCTTCTTTCCACCTTTCTTCCTGCTCTTCTTCACCTCCTCTTCGTTATCATTGTCATCATTATTCAGGTCAACGTCTGGTATCACCCCAGGTCAGATAAGTACTTGACTGAATGGCGCAAGATTTTCAAACAGAAGCTCACCAAACTCTTCACCAGCATAGGCATTCCACTCCGATAACATGGACTTCCAGTCCTTCGTATCGGTAAAACTATTCCCCTCCAACTTTTCATTGAAGTCAATTCTTTCAACCGGATCAGTATATCTTTACCGGTTGAGTGTGAAGCGGAACTCACCCATTGATCCGGACTTCGTCTTCCTCTGTTTTCCATGCTGACAATATAAAAATTCTCATACCGGCCTGCTTCCACAACTTTGTTGCCAGATCCTTCATCATACCGGGTGCTTTCTTCTTTGCAAAGTCTGCCTGAACAGCTGCAGGAGGAGCCTTGGCAGACCACTCAATCGCAGTGTTCTGAGCCTCCTCCAGCTCCTCTTTAGATAGACTGGCCACCACTGCAGTGAGTGTTGTCTGATATCTTTCAATAAATTTCTTCGATCCTGGCATCACTCCGGTCTTTTCAATGATCTCCTCCTTGTGCAGTTGTTCTATGACCGACCGGGAAGTCCATTTCTGACTGAACTTGTTGGCTTTCTTTTCTCGAGTCTTTTCAGGTCTCCGGTTATATAACCAGTCCCAGTACGTCTTTATACATCATGATATAAGTCGGTCATCATGTATAAATTTAAAGTTCTACTGCTCACATATTTCCTGTTCTTCAATGACCGGTCATCCATAGCAGGGGCATGCACCTTGGCCTCTTTTATGACGGCCTTCAGAATCTTTTTTCTATCGTTGGCAGCTGCTTCCTTCCATTCTTCTAGGTGGGATTTCAAGACCAGCACCTCTTCATCAGTTAATTTCTTCTGCTTGGTCTTTTTTGGGCTATCGACTGATGAGTTGGACCGGGGCATGGCAAAGTAGTTGAGGAGCAGTGGATGTCTTGATAGAAGAAAGGATGCATGTGTATCTCACAGTAATAGGTTACATAACCGATGTACGTGACTGCAAACCGAACAAAGGATTGTCCAATACTCGTTCATTGGTATGAATCCCTCAACATCCTATGTGTTTCTGATTCATAGAATGTAGAACTGTAAAAGCATATGGACTTAGACCTGTATTATATAGTATATGGGCAGCATACAGCCCTCAAATACTGGATACCGCCCTGTGCAATCATATTCCACAACTTGCTCAAGTAAGTATAATCACAAATGACTTTGAAGGCCAGCATGAATGTGGACATTAACAGCCGGTGTCCTGAAGATCAAACCAGAAGCCTGTTTGTCTCTAGAGTTGGTTATTTGGTTTGAACTGTTCTCTCAGAGCATGTTTTGCAATGCCAGTGCCCTCGACTAAAGTTTAATCAATGTATTGACTTTGCCAGACTCGTCAATAATCTAATCGAAAGAAGTATATATTGCTGCCGAACCCTCGTAATTACCTGAATGATTTTTCTACAGCCAACAATCCAGAATGCTGGCTAGAAAGAAGTATTTAAACATTGAAATGTAACCTCCGGTCGACATACTTTATCCAGTCAATTGTCATGTAACTTGAACATGAAATCCATGTGACTCGGGTTAATGGGAGGGTTATGGTGTTTGTGATGTCATGCAACTATGGCAACCTCAGTGACTCCAACCTTAATATATCCCATACAGGTGACATTGCAAGATCTTCGGTGAGATCACAGGAACAATGTGGTAATCCCGACCGGTCAAACCATTCGGAGTCTGAACAACACCGGATCAATTGGTCCCTTGATGACTGGGTAGTTCAATGACTAAGAAGGGAAAATGTGGTAATCTCGACGGTTCAAATCACCTGGAAACTGGAATTGATGGAAGGCACCGCAGTGAAGTCATGTGCTAGGCTACCAGTCATCAAGTTTACAGCACACCGATCCTTTCCAGTCAATATGGCAAATACCAAACAAAAGGGAATCACATACACCCCTCCTACAAAGAAACGATTACCTCAGCTGTATAAGCTCAAGGAAAAAACTACAACCAGGGGATCGAGGTCATCTTGGGTGAAAGATTCATGGGCTAGGAAAACAAAGTCGGTAACATCATCACCAATAAAATCACCCTCAAAGCATAAATCTGGGTCGCCTCACTTGCTCTATGAAGGTGCTGACTTTGAGTTTGACCAAGGTAACATCCCCCAGCCTAAATTTCCAAAATCCCAGGCAAGCAACAGTTATCTTCATTTCCCCGGTCTGACCGGACCATACAGAGTCAGAATGCATATCTCTGGCAATGGAAATGCAAGTTCAAGGACTACATAAATTCACTCATGATCAGAGAAGCCCCAACAGCCAACCAACTTTGCTCAGTCTGCAAGAAGGATGGGGTGTATAGATGTCATGGCTGTTTCAATGAGCCACTCTTTTGCACAGACTGTTGCAGAATTCAACATCAAAGACATCCATTCCATCGCATCAGTCAATGGACCGGATCATTTTTTCAAGAAACTTCACTCATTAAAGTTGGCCTGCACATTCACCTTGCTCACGACGGCACTCCATGTCCCAGCAGCACTGATGACTCATCAGACTTCTTTCAGTGGTCAGATACCGATGACAATATAGATGACGATTATCCGGAAGGACCTTTCATTCAACCGGTCAGAGACTCAGATCGTCCGGCAATAACTGTAGTAGACAAGTCCGGCGTTCACTCCCTTTCCATATGTTATTGCCAATGCCCCAGTGCTCTCAGCCGAGACATACAGCTCTTTCAAGCAGGCTTGTTTCCGGCGTCTTTCACCAGACCAAAAACTGCATTCACATTCGCTGTCTTGGACGACTTTCTGTTAGACAATCTCGAGTGCGGTACATCGGCCATGAATTACTACAGCAAAATTCGCAGACTCACCTCTAGCATCTTTCCACTGATGGTTCCGGTGAGCTGGGTTTTATTCTGTACTTCACATTCTGGTCATTAAAGAACAATATCTGTAGGATCACTATAGAGAGCTCATGAGAGCTGCCAGGCAGTGGCGACAATGCAAGCTCTACAAGTGGCATGGATTTGCCCACAAAGATGACCAGCCAAAGGATGGTGATCTTGCCCTATTTTGTCCGGCATGTCCGCAACCGGGTATAAACTTGGACCTGTCTACCAGTACAGTCGCCCAGCCTGACGATACACCTTCCTGGCTCATGACTAGGTATTTGGTCATGGATGGCAATTTCAAAGCCGAGCACATGCATCCGGTGAATCCATCCGATGAAGTATCATTAATGGATGGTCTGGGGTTCATGGTCTCCGATGAAAGATACAAGAGCCATTTGGCCATTGCTCAAGACAATGTCCAAAGGTCGGATTGCAATAATCACCGGGCAGTAAATCAAGCAAACACCTCGCGGCAAAGGCTGGAAGCCACCGGTATAGGAGGATGTGCATGTGCACGGCATGGATGTTTTGTCCCACATTCCATGGTCGACTTTCAGAAAGGCGAAAGGTCAGTACATATTGCATCCGGTCACATCAATGGATGATCTTACAACTCTTACGTGGAATAATCAGGCAGATGAACATGGACTATGCATTAAGTCAAGCTCTCAACTATAAGACCGACAGAATCTCTCGAGCCATCACTTTCTATGACATAAATTGTCAGTATAACAAGTATTTGAAGGACCGGATCGCTTCCAGCATGTATCTTTCCATCCCCATAGGTATGGATATCATTCCTGGAATCGGTTTGTGGCATGTACATGGACATCAAGACAACTGCTTTGTCCGGTATGCATCAAATTTTATCCATGGGACCGGCTGGATAGACAGAGAGATTATGGAAACCCTCTGGGCACCTTTGAATATAATATCTCCATCGGCCAGGGGCATGGGAACTCCCCATCGCAAGGAGGTATTGGATTATCAGATGAATGATTGTAATTTCATGAAAATGATTCATATAAGTAAGTCACCCACCTCCAGATGTGCATGTGTTGTCGGCGCTCATACAATTCATGTCCGGATGGCACATCCAGTAGCTAAGTTTCTGTCCAGAAAATTCAAAGAGGCCATCAAGGGGGCTTCGGAAAGCAAACTTGCTTTTGATAATCTTAACGAGACCGCCAACCCCGACATGGTAGTTCTTTGGAAGGCAGAGGAGGCATTGGCTCATGCAAACAGAGCAGAGGATCCTATGGCTATGGACATCTATGAGGTCCGGTTGGAAAGAGGCAAGTGTCCACTTTTATTGGCTGTCTGGTAGGTCTGATCATGAGGTCGTGCAGCGCCAACAAAGAAACAGCAGGAATTGCGCCTGTTGCAGGCTCAAAATCGCCCTGAACATCCGGTCATCAACCCTCCCGGTCAACGAGGAGCCGCCACTTGGCTTGCAACCGGTCTTACCATAGAGGAATCGCAAATATCTCTCTGCAAGGATGTGAGAAGTTTGCGAATGCACCCAACGGACATGCAACTGTTGAGAGTGGCTCGATGCCGGGATAAGCTTCACACTCAGATCACGAGCTTTCTTGAGATGTCACCTACTTATCTCGGAGTTGGAGTCAATGTCAATGATCCGGATTGTCCGGTTACTGTTTGTAACTCACTGGATGATTGTGAAGATTACTCCGATTTTGACAAAGATCAAAATCCTGATCCGGACATACACAATGCTTCCATATTTCAACCGGAGCTCACTGTCATACCCCTACCATCCAACATTGGTGCAGTGAGGTGCAGGGAGTTAGGTCTCACCAATCTCATCAAAGAAGAAATTGCCCTCCGAGAAGGTCAGGCCAATGACGCACTGCATGCCATTAGAGTTCATTTAGGAGATAAAGCTGTTTTATTCCACAATACTGTCCGGTCAGCCAAGTCACAGGCTTCATCTACTAGGGCATGGACTCGAGTTCGCTCAGTTGAAACAGCAGTCAATCTCCATGCTCGTATATATTCGAAATGCCGGTCGCAACTGGCCAAACTCCCTGACCACAACCTCTTGAAGAAATACCTTCCTTTGAAGAAAGAAGACCTGAAAGCCAGCTCTGCGGTGGCCGATCCAAATGCACGTGGTCAGAGAGATACCACTCTTTCATGGTTCTGGTCCTTGGATGTTCAGGGAGACACATCAGGAAATGACTGGATGACTGAATGTGTGTCTAGTGTTTCTGATTATGAGGTCGTCCGGTCTCACATGTTCTAATTATAGTTTACCGGGTTAATTGGCTCCGGACAAAAGCACTGCGCGATCGCTGGAATGAGGAGGTTATTCTTGTCAAACACAAAATGCAGTGGTCAATTAATTTCTTCACCCACAGAGCCAAGCAATGGCTCTGTCACATGCACAATGCTACTTCTGCAGGGCTCACCGGACATACATGTTATGCTGCCAGACAATCTCACATATATGACCTGCTGGCAGCACATGCAGAGGATGCTTTTCGGAAAATGATTGTTGGGGTAGAAGTCCCAGTTCCGGGTTAGTTGCACAATTGTGATTACCAGTTGATAATATATGAACAACTAGCGGCATATGCAGAGGATGCTCTGCGGGAAATGATCGTTCGGATAGAAGTACCGGTGCCGGGTTAGTTACATAATTGTGGTCACCGGTTGATAAGACCTGTGAGGTAATATACCCTTGTGTTTGGCATGTAAATATTCCCAGTGTGCCGGTCACACCATAGCCTCATATTCCTCTCCATGGACAATACTGTAACTCTCATCCCCTCCAACCAAGTCATCATTGCCGCCAAGGGCAATCACATCACAGCTGCAGATATCTCTCATGCCCTATTCTATGCCAATTCCCGGATGCTGGCCATGCGCCTGTATGTCGACAAGAGTTTTGCCACTGCCATACCTGGTTATGCAGAGATGTTCTACACCCTGATGAAATGGGAGATGGAGGTAGGGAGCCAGCCATGCCGATACTCCCATGCCCTCATCTTTTTCTCTGACATAGACCTTTGCAACACCTTTCATCAATATATGTTTTATCACCCGGTTGTCAGCTACTATTCCTCAACTTCTCAAGGATGTGCTCTCAACCATGACTGCTCACACATTGGTTGATCGGCGACCGGATGTCAATGCCATTTTGCAGGATATCCGGGCATTGCGCCTTTCTGCGGATTCAAACAAATCCGATGACTATGACATTGCTCACATGCCAGACTACTTCAATTACTGGTGGAAGGAATCACTTGGTTGTTGCAGGGTTTCAGATATGTTGCCCAAGTCATCTGTCCAAGATGTTATGGATTTGGTTGAATGGCACTTTTCACACCTTGTCAGTCCATAAGATCTTATTAACACCAGATGCACCGGATGCTCACACCATTTATTACAGCCGGATCATGTGAAAATTGGTCTTCTCCCATATATTGTGCGTGGTCCGGATAATGCGCCGGATATAATTGGTTCAAGATCTGGTGTGCCGTGCCACCAGACAACGATCGGGAGAGAGTTGCTGGATATGTTGCAGACAAGGATGATAAATCTTAGGCGATCAAGTGATAGGTTGACCGGATTGGTTGGGCCGATTGATGAAATCACACGGGCTGTGTCATCCTCACAGGCACTCATTGACCGGTTACATATAGATAACAGTGCATCCACTTCACAGTAAAGTAGAACCCAATGTCCGCCGGTATCCTGCCAATCTTTTATACCATCACGTCATATTTACCTGAATGGAAATGGAGTCTGTCTATGCAATCAGGTCGTGTGAATATGGGGCTATTTGTTCCAATGGATATAACAGTGGTGCTTTCCTGTCACTTAATTGTTTCGGCAAGCCATGGTTACAATTCCACTTGACTGGGCCTTGTACCAGACCTACCTTGCCGGTGAATTGGTGCATGAGATTTTCACATCTACAATTCTTCACCGACCGGTAAAGGATATGGACCTTGGACTCTTGGATATCGACACTTGTATTGTTTTGGAGCAGCTAGCCTATGTGATGGCCGCTGCTTACTCTAACGCCGGTATGTATTCCAGCACACCTGTCTGTTCTGGTCAACTAACCTGCAGAAAGTTCATCTTAAAATAGACATGGTTAGATACAATGACACCCTGGACAAAGATGAATCCGGTCGAAGTGAGACACGAGAAGAGGTTCTTTTGAACAAATTCCCCCCTGAAGAGGAGCACCTCTTGACAACACCATCTGTTGTCATTGATTCCGGCGGTAGAATCATTGTCTGGTATTTGCCTGGAGCACTCACCTCTATGATGATGGTTGGTCCTTTATCCTTTATCCATTTCCAGTTGTTCTTTTATCTTACCCGGATGCATTACTTAGAAAGATATTCACGGTGCCACACATTCCATGAGTGGTTTGTTGAAGCATAGCATCACATCAGGCAAGATTTCTCAATGGAGGACCCACCGGTCAAACTTCTATACAAGTCCAGATGGAATGATCACCCCCGGTTGCATCAATATATCTCCTGCATGGTTTCAGCAAGGAAGAGAGGTGCGTCAGGTCCACATGCATTGAAATCTCTGGTTGGAAGTATTGTAGAAACATGGCTTCCCGAATCTTGACCTGGAAGATGGCTTCTCGCCAGAGGTATCAGCGGCACTGAAAGGTGCTGCCAGTCACAATATTACAGCATCCCTTCAAAGGTCCGGTATCATTGTCTCTGCTGCACTTCGAGTCATGCACCCTGATCTTTATTGGGCCGGAATGGAAACTCAAGTCAGGCTTGGTAAATGGGCTGCCAGATATGAGTTGAACGAGATGCACCATCATCTTCAACGCTGGACATCCGTTTTTAATGTGGTATCGATCATATGCAATCGCCAGACACCCCCTCATAGAGATCCTAAATGTCGACCGGCAGCATTTGATATCATGACTACTGCTGGTGTTTATTGCCCGGTTATCATGGATTTCATGAACCTTGGAATCAAGTTTCTCTACGACTCTGGCTCAATATTGGCTTCATCATGTCGACTGGTGAGACATTACATGAACGTGGAAGAGGGCAACAGGATTGTCACTGCATGGTACATGCGAGACAGCATCCACAATTTTGTTGGGACTCCGAGCACGGAGTATGCAAAATATGACCGTGTAGATATTTAGCAACTCCATGTATTGGGCCACATATATTGCTTGTCAATCTCGTTTGATATCATAGACGTACTGTATGGGTATAGACCCGGATGTATATATGAGACGGACCGGATGTTTATTCCCGGTTAATATACTTTGTATGCACCGGATGAGGCATCATGCCACCCACATCATATATTCACCCTATCCCCCAGCCCACTCATCTCCGGTTAGTATACTCTGTATGCGCCAGATACCCCCTCCATCCCACAACGCTCTTCCGGCTCATCTGTATCATCCATCTCACCTTCACCTCTATCACGCAGCGGACATCCGGCTCATCTGTATCATCCATCTCGCCTTCACCTCTCGCACACCAGACGCCCGGCTCATCTGTATCATCCATCTCACCTTCACCTCTGTCCCACAATGCTCTTCCGGCTCATCTGTATCATCCATACCGGCAAATATTTCCATTGTCCACCGGGTGGAATATCATGAGGCCCACCTGTCTCCATTTCACCTGGGACCCCCAGCCCACTCGTCTTCCATTATACCCCATACCCCCGGCTCACTTGTCTTCCATTATACCCCATACCCCCGGCTCACTTGTCTTCCATTGTGCTTCACATACCGGCCCACTCATCTTCCATTGTGCTTCACATACCGGCCCACTCGTCTCCATTGCACCCGGTACCACCGGCCCACTCATCTTCCATTGTGCTTCACATACCGGCCCACTCATCTCCATTGCACCTGGTACCACCGGCCCACTCGTCTTCCATTGTGCTTCACATACCGGCCCACTCGTCTCCATTGCACCCTTACCCCCGGCCCACTCATCTTCAATTGTACTTCTCATCCCAGCCCACCCGTCTCTATTGTACTTTGCATACCGGCCCACCCGTCTCCATTGCACCCCATACCCCCGGCCCACTCGTCTTCAATTGTACTTCTCATCCCAGCCCACCCGTCTCTATTGTACTTCGCATACCGGCCCACCCGTCTCCATTGCACTTCATACCCCCGGCCCACTCGTCCCCATCATACCCATCTCCCTGGCCCACTCATTTACATTGCACACCATTCAGCCGGCCCACTCGTCTCTATAGCTCATTGTATTCACTACTATTTACATAGATATCCTATATAGTACATTCCTATACTACCATCTACACTATATACCACCGGCCCATCTGTTTGCAACAGGTACACACAACCCTGCAGCCCACTCGTCTACCATGGTACAATTGTTGCCATGGGCCCACATGGGCTGGCCTGCCTCTATTGCTACATTGTCACCCTCAGCTGTCCGTCTAATATGGGTGAATTCACTGAAGGGGCTCGTGTATTCACCCCAAGGTGCATATGACGCGAAAAATGCGGTCCACAAAGCTGTCGCGAAGGCAGCTAGTGAGATTGTGATGTGAGACGCATTAAATAAGTGTTGCTTGCCGACAACCTCCGAAAAGCAAGCTACAGCATGTCAGGCACTTCTCGATTCATGTCATGGTAAGTCTCGAAAATGATTCAATGTATCATGCTAACAATTTTTTTTTCAGTATCAACGAAAGACTGGGCCGTCCAAAACTTGGGCGCGCTATATAAAACGGTCACCATGCCAGTCACAGATCTCTTGTCGAGTTTCGGGAGCATTGCTCATGGAGTCGTTCAACGGGCATATGGTCTCCACATGTCAGTCTGGTCCGAAGAGGACGAGGTGGCACACAAAAGAATGATTATTCCAGACCTTGTTGATGAGACTACACTAACTTTCATATACGGCGACACTCTATCAGTATGTTTCCATTTATTTTCTCGAACGTTTCTGATTTTCAGTAGCTTAATGACAACAGCTCCCAGACAGTCCAGTACGCCTTCGAGCATGTCGGTATCACTGACGTTGCTCTGGACGCTGTATGGACCGCTGGGTATGGACAGTATGTCGATAGTCTGAAGGCACTCGCCAACATCCTCGCAACCTCCGCTGCTGCTATATTCTGTCGTCTTCAAGAGCACCGTGATGGTGTTCGACGAAGCATCAACTTTTCTGCGGCAGCCTTCAGAGGTATATACGACAAACTACTCCTCCTCATCAAGGAAACAATCATGACTACTCCGCATCTATTGCAGAGGTGGGAGAAGTACATCATGCACCTCTTGAAAAGAGGATGTAAGATTTCTGGGATCGACTACTGTTGAAAGATTATAGATAAGTGATAACTTTGATTCGGACAACAACAAACAACACTCGCTTACATAATACGCTATGCGCTCATTAGAAGTTTTATATTACTTAGCACCTCAGTCTTCGACTATTGAGACTGAGGTATGATATTATTTATTTAGACTCTTTACTACGATACTGACTACTACTCTAGTACTTACTACTTTCGTTTATAGGTCAGCTAGTAGTCTCCAAGTCTTCGACTATTGAGACTGAGTACTTACTACTTTCGTTTATAGAATTCTTTCTGTCATTCTTTCGTCCGTCGCATCCTCGAACAAAAGGTTATGAGCCCTGGTGCTTAGAATCAATCCAGTACCACAAAGGAACATCAACCGAAACAAGAATTAAATGTCGAACACACCCTCAGTGTCTGCAGCCCAGTCAGGTGCAGCTGCTTCATCCTCGAACATCCCTTCCATATCATCCAGTTCTACATCTACAAGCAGAACTGCACAAGCCTCAAATCGTCTATATGATATTCCATCCCTCGAAAACGACGGTTCAAACTTCCAACTATGGAAGTACCGTGTCGAGTTAATCCTTGACCTTCGAGGACTATGGGGAATTGTTGAAGGAAGTGAAAAGATGCCAGATAGCACAACGCACCCTGTTCAACACCAGGAATGGTTAGCAAGGAACAAGGAAGCATGAGCTCAGATAGCTCTCACGCTGAAAGATGATCCCTTGAATGGGATACTCTATGTGCCAATAGCTAAAGATGCCTGGAAGAAGCTCTGTGAGCGATACGAGGGTAGAGGAAAGCAAACAATTGCTCAACTCATTGGCGAATTGTTTCGAAGTACCTTGACGGACGAATCTCCTATGGAAACGCAGCTAAACACCATGCGACAGAAGGCATTCATACTGTCCTCGCTTGGTCAGCCGCTCGACGATTCACTGGTCGCAGTTGCGATGGTGATATCCTTACCTTCATCCTATGCCACCCTTCGAACGATCCTAATGTCCAGTAGTGACAAACTCACCACCGAAACTGTTATAGCCCAAGTGCTGGTAGAGGAAAGGCAACGACAGGCTAGCAATAGCCAATCTGCGCTCGTTGTGAAGGGACCTGCGCAAAAGAATAAGCCTAAGCGCAAGGATAAGGACAAGAAGAAGTCAAAGGAAAAGTGCACATACTGCCACATTCCTGGACATGAGGAGAAGGACTGTCGAAAGAAGAAAGCTGCTGAAGACGCTGAAAAGAGTGGGAAGCAGGTGGACAAAGACAAAGGAAAAACGGACCTATCTGCGAAGGTCGCACGCATTTCGTCGGACCATGACACACCACTCCAATTATTCATGGCACATGGGCACTCTACATCCGCATCCAAAGATGATTGGATAGTGGACTCTGGCGCATCTGCAAACATGACGTGTCAGCGGGAAATTTTCATCAAATATCGCACACTGAACCCACCCGAAAAAGTAATCATCGGAGATGGACGCTCGATAGATGCGATAGGTATCGGACGTGCTGAAATAAACGTCTATGTTGGTGAAAATGAGTACATCCACTCCATCCTGCAGGAAGTCTATCACATACCAGACCTGAATGCGAACCTTCTGTCAGTTCCCCGCCTCACGAAACAAGGTCTCGAAGTCACCTTTGATGGTTCCCAATGCAAGATCCTTGCAAAGGGAAAGACCGCCACTCTCGCACATAAGCGAAACTCGCTATACGTCCTTCGAGTAAAGCCCTGCGAGAAAGCACATGCATACATTCTGCAAGGACCATCAGCTCCACTCGATCCAGATGTCCCCATAACAGCTCTCACCTCGCGCATGCTCCATTCGAGTGCAACTCTGGACACATGGCATCGACAACTTGGGCACGTAAATTTCGACTCCATATCTAAGTTAATTTCGAAAGATATGGTCAATGGGATCAACATAAAGGGTTCAAGTACTCACAATAAGGCAGTGTGTCAGCCTTGCCTTGAAGGCAAGCAACACCGCAACCCAATCCCAACGAAATCAAATGTCGAAAGCCCAGGAGTCCTGTATCGCACATACTCTGATGTATGCAGACCCATGGAAACAGTGTCGCGCGCCGGCTTCCGATACTTCATTACATTCATAGATGCCTATTCACACCATCTCGTGGTTAAACTTGTGAAGACCAAGGATGAAACATTCGCACTCACCAAAGGATACTTTGAACGTGCAGAGACCGAGACTGGAGAACGCCCCAACTATTTTCGTAGTGATGGTGGGGGGGAATATGGATCAAAACAATTTGTATCCTATCTCGAGTCAAAAGGCATCCATCACGAGAAAACAAACGCATACACACCACAAGAGAACGGTGTCGCAGAGCGGATGAATCGGACCTTAGTTGAAATGGCACGCAGCTTGCTACGAGACGCCGGACTGCCAAACACATATTGGGGAGATGCGATCCTATATTCAGCGCACATATTGAACCGGGTTCCAACTCGTGCGATAGATGGAGACATTACACCACATGAAGCATTCACTGGGAACAAACCATCAGTATCCCATCTCCGGGTATTTGGGTGCAAAGCCCATGTACACATACCTGATGAAAAACGCCAGAAGCTCGGTGTGAAATCGCTCGAATGCGTCAACCTTGGGTATGCCGAACATCGAAAGGCCTATGTATGCCTGCATCGTCCAACCGGTCGCATCCTCGAGTCGCGAGACGTCGTCTTCGATGAAGGAGATCCGCAAGGGCCTAGTCGTGTCAAGATAGACACATTTCTCCCAGAGAAACAGGTCACTGCTGCAAAGCACAACACAGACGACCTGCAAGGCCTGGAAGCTCCTCATAAGTCAACAATTATAGAAGAATTATCAGACGATGACGCACCGGAAGTGGGAAATCCAGCTACCGAATCTCCCCACGAGGATGATGATGTCGATGGACAACCAGCTCCTCTAAGCATGGTCAAGTTCGAGCCTGAAGACCAGAACAAGGAAATGTCAGCACCGAACAACACGCGTGCGTTGGAGACACACCATGTTCAACCACTAACCACTTCAGCCACTCGACAAATAGCACCTCCTGCTCCATATCCTCGCCCAGCTCCTCCACCTGAAGTAAGGCGCAGCTCGCGAGCGCGACGCGCACCTATGCGAGATGATGATCCTCGCTACTTCATAAACGCCTATGAGAAGTCAACACTTCAAAGAGAGGAACCGGTTATACAAGACATACCTGAGGCAGTGGGCGCGATTGAGGCTGCGGAGACACATGGGGAGGCTTACAAGGCTACAGTAGCTTGTAATGGTGAGCCTGGGACGTTCCATGAAGCAATGAATCGTCCAGACGCAGATCTATGGTACACGGCGATGACCGAAGAATTGAAGATCTTCGAGAAGATTGGCCTATACGAGGAAGTCAAACGCCCTCGTGACCGCAAGGTTGTAGACTCGAAATGGGTCTATAAAATTAAGCGCGGCCCGCATGGCGAAATTGAACGCTATAAGGCCAGACTCGTCGCGAAAGGTTTCACGCAGGTCCAAGGGATCGACTACACAGACACCTTTGCCCCCGTCACGAAGTTCTCGACGATTCGAGTCCTTCTTGCCCTTGCAGCCAAGTACGATCTAGATATACATCAGATGGACGTCAAGTCAGCTTTTCTAAACGGTGAATTGGATGAGGAAATTTACCTGCAGCTCCCTCCTGGCTTTCGTGACTCGTCGAATCAAGTTTGGAAGCTCAAATGTGCTCTATACGGTCTTAAGCAGGCACACAAAGCATGGTACAAAAGACTACGTACCGTCTTCGAGTCTCTCGGCTTCACACGCAGCAATGCAGACCATTCTGTCTTCTACAAGGTCGAGAACGGCACAATCATTATAGTCGCCGTCTATGTTGACGACAAAATGATACTGTCAAAGGATAAGAAGATGATAGATGAGCTGAAGAAACGGTTAGCAGCAGAGTACGAGCTTACCGATTTGGGAGAAGCACGCTGGATTTTGGGAATGGAAATCATTCGCGACCGCGATAAACGCACGATCAAGCTGTCACAAAGCCGCTACATCGAATCGATACTCGAGCATTTCGATATGGGATCCAGTCGTCCTGTGAATACGCCAATGGACCCTAATACCAAGCTCATCAAAGTGAATGAAGCCGAAGTCGATGTGAAGACTTACCAAAGTGCCCTAGGTGCACTGATGTATGCGATGCTTGCGACGCGTCCGGACATCGCGTTCGCAGTAGGTGCTCTGAGCAGATTTGCAGCTACCCCCGGACAAGCGCACTGGACCGCTCTAAAGCGTGTCTATCGGTATCTACACGGGACCGTCAATAAATGTTTGACATATCAAGGGAAGTCAGAAACGGACTTACATGCGTTCGTCGACGCAGACTGGGCCTCAGATGTCAATGACCGGCGTTCGATAACCGGATATATATTTTCAATATCTGGAGGAGCAGTTAGTTGGAGTTCAAAGAAGCAAAGTTCAGTCGCACTTTCCAGTACCGAAGCAGAATATATGGCCGCCGCCGCTGCTACGAAGGAGGCCGTTTGGTTGAGGACCCTACTCAGAGAACTAAACTCCTCAGAAACTCCCCCAATAACTCTCCAAATCGACAATCAATCTGCAATTCTGTTAGCCGAAAATGCCATGTTTCATGAACGTACCAAACATATCGCGATCCAGTATCACTTTATCCGAGAAAAGTTGGAGGAAGGAGAGATATGCGTTGAGTATGTTCCCACGAACGAACAGATTGCCGACGTTTTGACGAAGGCACTTGCGCGCGAGAAGCATGGACGATTCATCGAAGGAATGGGAGTGTTGAACGGCGAGAGTTTGATTCGTTGAGTGGGCGTGTTGAAAGATTATAGATAAGTGATAACTTTGATTCGGACAACAACAAACAACACTCGCTTACATAATACGCTATGCGCTCATTAGAAGTTTTATATTACTTAGCACCTCAGTCTTCGACTATTGAGACTGAGGTATGATATTATTTATTTAGACTCTTTACTACGATACTGACTACTACTCTAGTACTTACTACTTTCGTTTATAGGTCAGCTAGTAGTCTCCAAGTCTTCGACTATTGAGACTGAGTACTTACTACTTTCGTTTATAGAATTCTTTCTGTCATTCTTTCGTCCGTCGCATCCTCGAACAAAAACTACAGCCGCTACACTATCAGTAATCTACAATCGTAATCTAGACTTGATAATGCAGATTTCGTTGTGATAACATACCCGAGGCTCGGCTCAATCTCCGTCAACGAAAAACATAAGACTTAGTACAATTGAGGTATAGTCCCGCCGTGTACGTGAGCACGACCTGACCTATACCAAATCCGACGCTCAAAAAGCAACTTTTTGAGCGTTTCGGACCTCAGATGTGGCACACCCCCAGAATTCACGAAGATGCGATGCTTAGCCTGTGTGATGTGACGCGGTGATGAATGCTTACTAAGCAATGTCATGCGCGACGGACAACTTGAACCAGTGACCGGGACCGTTGGTGGCTGTTGGTGGCCACCGGTCACCTACTCGACGAGAGACCCCAATAATTGATGTAAGTAGTACAATTACTTACCCGCTCTAAACACTCTGAACGTGTATCGAACCTTTTGAAGAATCTTGCATTTAATTGCCCATATGTACTTCAACCTCGTGTGGTATGCTCGTCAATTGATCGTGCATTGTCATATTTCGTTTCTATCAACATCCATAGTTCCTGTGGTAGGTTTGTCTAGATCTATGGCATGGCCCCTTCAAGGCTATGCTCCCTTATTCCTTCGGCAACGGACCTATGGCCGATAATCCGATGATTAGCGCTTCAAGAATCCAGTGAACGTGTTGGCCATATTTCGATAAGGGTATTCTGGTCATGCCAGAGGTCCTTTCTTTTCTCCCACCTAAAGTTATTGCACCCCAACTCCGCTCACAGTAATCGACCATTCGTGATGAGTGAAGACCATGGAGCAGAACCTCCTCCAGAAGCCTGCAAAGCAACCGGTCGTGAAAGCTCGGTATGTATTCTCAAGGGTTTACTCACTGTGGACGAGCGCTCATGAAATACATTACCTCTTCTGATGCTTTCTTCGTCCAGAGCCAAGCCCGTAGTCAAGTCCAGCAGGCTATTCAGAAATTTGCGAAAGGCATCACCAAGAAAATTTCTGTAAGTAGACTGCTGGGGTTCCTGGTTGTGAATATGGCTGACATTGTGCAGACACGCTCCAAGCGTCCCCACAGCCTCATTCCTGCAGGTCTGAATGTCGACCTTCAAGATACTCCATCGAATCAGAATGTTGAGGTAGGTGCTCCAAATCGTAAATCCGGTGCTTCAGTTTTTTTAATTTGAGGCATCCAGGACGTGTCACATCCACATCCTTCCGCCAACAAGCATCCCGCCTCATCTGAAAATCCTAGTGGCTGCATAAATCAAGGCTCACCCAGAGAACCTATTTCGAAGGTACTTGCATCAAATTATGGTTTTCGTCTCTAAATTTTGTTGGTCGCGCAGGCTGTGAGCATTCCCTCTGGTGTAGATGAAACTTCAGGTCCCGAATCAGTTGGTACCGAACTTCAGGGTGCCCACGAGGCTTCAGAACATATGAAAACACTCGGGGGACGTGCGCAGTCTGTAGCATCCATCGCCAACAATACCCTTGCAGATCTCGCTGCCGCAGATAATTTCCAGACCAACTATCTCCAACCCCTGAAGATTTTCGACACTGCCATTGAGAAGATCGCAAATGTATGGGCTTTTCTGCTTAGCTGGTAGCGAACTAATCAAGTTATAGGTGCATCCATACGCAAAGATGGCGTTGGGCGTACTTTCTGCTGCAGCCAAAGTAAGTTCTACGTTTCACGGAAATCTACCTCCGGTCCAGAAGTCACGATTCCACGTAGATTATTCTTGCTCAAGCGAAGCGCGACGAATCGGTAGATCGCCTTCTCCAGAAATTAGATGAAGTTTATGGCTTCATTACCCAAGCCGAGAATCTTTCCAAGGTTGAATCAATGCATGACATCATCGGAAAGATTGCTCAGCAGACCCTCGAGTGCGCCCGTTTCATCAGGGAGTACTCGGAGACAAAGAGTTTCTGTGAGTCATCGGACTATTGCATTTGTACACGAATCATATACTCACTATGATTACAGGGAAGAGAGTCGGTAAAAACATCGTTGCGGAAACGGATGATATCATCGTACGGTACAACAACGCCCTGGATGGGCTTATGCAGAGATTCCGGGATCAAGCTCATCGGGACGCAGCCATCTTTGTCCAGTTTGCGGGTGAGGATTCATACACGCCTCTGACTTTACATCTACTCATACCTTTAAAGGTGAAACACTCGATATCAGCGGAATGGCTTATGCGGCGGGCGCGGGACTAGATACTACGAAGCAATGTCTGTCAGGCACTCGCACGGACATTCTCTCCCAAATCACCGAGTGGATCAACAGCAGCGGAGATTCTGTTCCACGCGTAATGTGGCTATCCGGCCCTGCAGGTAAGGGCAAATCAGCCATCGCGCACACGATTGCCAACTGGTTCGACAAAACCGGAGGCCTTGGTTCATGTTTTTGTTTCGATCGGCACAGAGAAGCGGACCATCGCCATGAAAAGATTTTCTCCACCATCGCACGCGATCTTGCTGATCGCGATCCAGGGATGAAGCGAGCGTTAGCAGATGCAGTCAAGAATGCAAACTCGCTGAAGAATACGCCGGACATCATCCAGCAGTGGCGCAAACTTCTCATGGAACCGCTAAAGAAGTTCTCTGCGTCAAGCGTAGGGCCTGTCCTAATCGTAATCGAAGCGCTGGACGAGAGTGGTGGAGTGGGGACGCGACGTAATCTCCTCCGCATACTATCTGGTAGACTTCAGGACGAAGGGCTTCCCCAAATCACTGAACTCCCTTCCAACTTTCGGATTCTCGTCACCTCTCGTCCACTTCATGATATCGAAAAGGAGTTTGAAGGTGCTGAACATGTTCTACGGTTGTCCATAGACGAGATTCCAGCAGAAGTAGCAGAGCGCGACATCTATGCTTTCATATCCGACAAGCTAAAAGGGCTGCCACGTTTTGGGCCCCAAGAGTTTGCAAACCTCGCAATGAAAGCCGGTGGACTTTTTGAGTGGGCGCGTCTTGCATGCGAATACATCAGGGAAGACCTTCCCGGCTTATCCCCCATGGACTGCTTCAATGCTGTCGTGAACCGCAATCCTGGGGAGCGGAAAAATTTGTTGTATGATATGTATCGGCTCATCTTAACAGAAATCATGGCAAAGGAGAAGTACACAACGGCCCATTACGAGCAAGCAGTAGCGAAGTTTCGTTCCGTGATGGGCCAAATACTTGCTATAGCCGAACCCCTCCCTTTAGCTTCACTCAATGCTATGCGGCAGCATTTCCCGGAGGACCACGACCATTACGAAGTAGAAGTAGTGATCAAACACATGGGATCCCTCCTCAGCGGCACCACCGACTCATATACCCCTATCCGACCGCTTCATGCGACCTTTCAAGAATTCCTGACGGACAAATCAGCCAGCGGAGACTTCTTCGTCGAGAGAACGAAGGCGCACCAGCGTAACCTTGCATTTGCGTCACTGCGAGTGATGGAACATAGCCTTTGCTTCAATATCTGTAGTTTGAAGTCGTCGTACCTCCCTAATTCCCAAGACACGGGGCTGCCTCAACGAGTCAAAACATCCATTCCCCTACATCTCTCTTATTCCTGTCGATATTGGGCTGTGCATGTTCAAACGACCGACTTTGACGATAAGCTCGCAAAGGAAATAAGATCACTCTTCGACGACGAGCGACTAATGTTCTGGATTGAAACGCTCGGGCTTCTCAATGCCATCAGTGGTGGAGCTACTGTACTTGCACTCATTGCCAAATGGCTGAAGGTAAGTACATGCCTACGAGGCAGTTTCAGACGAACAGCTCATAAATAGATACAGGGCCATTCTGGATACGAAAATTTGCGGTCCAGCACGATGGATGTGCAGAGATTCATTCAAGTGTTTGGTGGCATAATTTTGCACAGCACGCCGCATCTGTATCTATCAGCGCTCCCATTCTCGCCTGTCAACTCCACCATGGCTACTAAATTTACGGCAGGGTTTCCAAATAACCTTCGTCTGGCATCTGGGCGCGATTTGAACTGGACGGTTGTCCAGGCTGTCATTAATGGGCACACTGAAGAAGTCAACTCCATCGCGTTCTCACCGGATGGCACTCGCATCGCGTCCGGTTCGGAAGATAATACTGTGCGTCTGTGGAATGCGGCGACGGGACAGTCATTGGGCGAGCCCTTGGAGGGGCACACTGGAGCGGTTTTGTCAGTCTCATTCTCACCGGATAGTACTCGCATTGTGTCTGGTTCGGAGGATAACACTATACGGTTGTGGGATGCAGCGACGAGACAGCCATTGGGTGAACCCTTGGAGGGTGACACTGGAGCAGTTCGGTCAGTCTCGTTCTCAGCGGACGGTACCCGCATCGCGTCTGGTTCTTGGGATAACACTGTGCGGCTGTGGGACGTAGCGACGGGACAGCCCTTGGGTGAGCCCTTGCAGGGGCACACCGGAGCAGTTTGGTCAGTCTCTTTCTCACCGGATGGTACTCGCCTCGCGTCTGGTTCTTGGGATAACACTGTGCGGTTGTGGGATGCAGTGACGGGACAGTCATTGGGTGAGCCCTTGGAGGGGCACACTGGAGCGGTTTCGTCAGTCTCGTTCTCACAGGATGGTACGCGTGTCGCGTCTGGTTCGGAGGATAATACTACGCGGCTGTGGGATGTAGTTACGGGACGGCTATTGGGTGAGCCCCTGCAGGGGCATACTGAAGCAGTTTCGTCAGTTTCTTTCTCACCAGATGGTACTCGCATCGTGTCTGGTTCTTGGGACAATACTGTGCGGCTATGGGATGCAGTGACGGGACAGTCATTGGGTGAGCCCTTGGAGGGGCACACTGGAGCGGTTTTGTCAGTCTCATTCTCACCAGATGGTACTCGCATCGCGTCCGGTTCTTGGGATAAGACCGTGCGGCTGTGGCATGCAGTGACGAGACAGTCCTCAGCCAAACCCTTGAAGGGGCACACTGGAGCAGTTTCGTCAGTCTCGTTATCACCAGATGGTACTCGCATAGCGTCTGGTTCTTTGGATAAGACGGTGCGGCTGTGGGATGTAGCGACGGGGCGATCATTGGCCAAGCCCTTGGAGGGGCACACTGGAGCGGTTTCATCAGTCTCTTTCTCGCCGGATGGTACTCGCCTCGCGTCTGGTTCTTGGGATAAAACTGTGCGGTTGTGGGATGCAGTGACGGGACAGTCATTGGGTGAGCCTTTACAGGGGCACACTGACATAGTTTTGGCAGTCTCGTTCTCACCGGATGGTACTCGTATCGCGTCTGGTTCAAGGGATAATACCGTGCGGCTGTGGGATGTAGCGACAGGACAGTCCCAGTCATTGGGTGAGCCCTTGGAGGGGCACACAGGAGCAGTTTGGTCAGTCTCGTTCTCACCGGATGGTACTCGTATTGCGTCTGGTTCAAGGGATAGGACCATACGATTATGGGATGTAGCGACGGGGCAGCTATTGAGTAAGCCCTTGGAGGGTGACACTGGAGCAGTTTGGTCAGTCTCGTTTTCACCAGATGGTACTCGCATTGCATCTGGTTCAAGGGATAACACTGTGCGGGTGTGGGATGCGGTGACGAGACAGCCATTGGGTGAGCCCTTGCAGGGGCACACTGGAGCAGTTTCGTCAGTCTCATTCTCACCGGATGGTACTCGCATCGTGTCTGGTTCGGTGGATCACACTGTGCGGCTGTGGGATGTAGCGACCGGACGACCATTGAGTGGGCCCTTGGAGGGGCACACCGACACGGTTTTTTCAGTCTCGTTCTCACCTGATAGTACCCGCATCGCGTCTGGTTCTTGGGATAAGACCGTGCGGCTGTGGTATGCAATGAAAGTGCAACCATCCCCCGAGTCTAGAGAGTCAGATCCCTCCGCATTTCCGCTGCATCGAAGCACCGCACCTCACACTGAAGAGAGCTGTATCATGCCAACCAACATTTGTAACGATCGCCTCGTTTCCTTTTCTTCCAGCCTGGAACACGCTCTACCCAATCCCGCTGACTTGCTCGAACCCACCCTTCATCATAATTCTAACTCGACCCCTTTCTTGCTGCAGGCTGACGGATGGATGATGGGACCCAACCATCAGCTCCTTTTCTGGGTACCTCTCGCTGCCCGACATGCATTTTATACTCCTTGGACTTCATTGGTGATACCCAGAGGATTTCCTGAGCTTGATATGAGCCGCATGGCACATGGAACACGCTGGTCGAGTTGCCGAGATGCGTGAGCTCTTAGTCTTTACCATCCGTCTTAGCGGTTGCTGACACCAATCCTGCTAGCTCCACGTAACAATGATTTTATTGTTGCAATATCAACTGTACCATTTGATTATTTGATTCCTCATCAATTTTATACCTAGTACCGAGCCTGAATTTACTGTCATCCGACTGAAAGACGCGACGAAAAAAACAGACTGAACTCAGATATTACTGACCATCGGTAAGAGCACGCGCTGAAGCCTAATTTTATCAGAGATGTGTCTGTGCCCTTATTCATGCAGTTGAGTAGATGTCTCGGACTCAGGATGTTAGAGTGAATGCACGCATCAAAAAATTAAATACTTGTGGTACGAGTGCGAGGCGATCTCAATGCCACGAAATTCTACACTAGCATGATACACGATACGAATACGAGCATTTCCGAGTCACTACAGGCATGAATGTTCAACGTTTCACCCAGACAATAAGGCCGTACCTCAAACTCATAAGGTGGGCCCCAGGTAACATTTCTTGGTAAATACCACCGCTCGATGATGAAGTGGTTTATAAACTTGATACACACAGCAGGCTGATCGGGTTCAATCAAGACCGCGCGTCTCCGATATCACTGGACAGTGGACATAGATGACGAAGCGCCCTCCGCGATGCCATCAAGTCTAAAGCCAGGAACATATCCACTCCGCACCGAGGTGGAGTAGCCTCTGTTGTCCTTCTGCGGCTAGACGCAGCTGAAGATAGCTCAGAATATGATGATAGAGATATCTGGCGTCCGATTCCCGAAAGCTATTGTTTCCATAAGTTCCTGGTGAGATTGATCATGAGAACATACGCCGTCACGGTGCACGGGAACTGACATCATATCATTGTCAATCGAAGATTGTCTGCTGTTAGAAGGGAGATGATTGACGGAGATCAGTTCTAGGGTTGTTGGCAGAATGTGGCAGTGGCAATTCCCGAGCGGCAATTGCCGGCAGTACTACCTGCGGTGGTTGAAGTCGGCAGAACTAAGTCGATTGTAGTAGTACGATAACCTGGTATTTTTTCCTACCAACAAAATTTGACATACGTTTGAATGTATCTTGGCGTGCAAGTTGGCAATTATCATGCCTCCAAAGCCCAAGTTCAAGCGCTCAAGGGTCGTCCTGTCAAGGTCTATGTCTTCAATTATTACGGTAGAAACTTTTCCGCAAGCTGTTGGGATCACTGATCGGTATTTATTCGATACTACGGATTTGATGGACGATATAAACACATGATAAGAAAAATAAAGGGAATTCGTATATGCTGCAGCGAGCGTCTTAGTAAAAATTGATGGAGGAATAGATGTACCGAGAGCATGAGAGTTGACAATGATGATGATGGCGGAGTCCAGGGGCTAGTAGTCTGTGCATGAAACAATCAAAATGATCATATGGAACGCAGCAAATAAAAACCAAACGCAAGATGAAATTCACAACAAAAATAGAGTCAGGGTCATGCAGATATCGTAGACAAGTGTTAGAACGTGACCAACCACATAATGGCGAACCAAGGACCGTCCATTGCAGTCCATAAGTTGTCGCAGCAGGTCCATGTCGAGCCGGCAGCAGCCTTGTACTAGCATTCCACCCACACAAAATTTCCGGATGACATCTAGCAAATATCCAGCAACTCTGTCCTATTTTCGTATTTGTCCTTGTCTCCCCTCGTTTGCCTCGTCCCTGAGAAGCGCTCATCGCGGCCCGTATCCATATGCGGTTTGCGGGCCTGGAGATGCTCTACCAGCACCGATTGCGGGACTTGCCGACCGCCCATCGAGTGCATACCCCATGGCCGCCTGCGGACCTGGGGACGCACGACCTTGCACATCGTATCCCATCTGTGGACCCGGACTCCTGGTCCGGGCCATCCGCGTCATCTGAATGGTCTCTGTAGTATGGCCATCTGAGAAGCCGTCACCAAACGTGTTGGGTACGGGGCCACGATAGGGATCATAGTAGTCTGGCTGGCCGTAGGTCCCGGGGTCGTCGTGGTAGGGTTGGTTGGGGTTGAGGTGTGGGAGGGGAGGGACGGCATATGGGTCTGGTGAATTTACGTAGGTCTCAGGAAGTGAGTTGGCGGCTACGGAATGGGCGTATCCACCGGGACTGGGTGCGCGTGCGAGGTTCACCTCGGACTCATTTTCTGCGCCGAAACCTGACCGGCCCGTAGATTTAGTTGGCAACGCATGGACATCAGAGCCATGGGTGTTCAGTTCTGGCCACTTGATTGCTTCATCTAATGCGGTTGTGAAATCGTGAGGTCATGATAGATTTACAAGTCATAAATCAAAAAACGCACTGTCATCAAAGTCTGCGAAGCGTTTTCTGGTGAATTTCCAAATAAAGAATGAGATGATGCCAATAACTGCAACGCCACCCGCTACAGAAAGACCAACAATGGAGCCTGTGCCAAGGCCACTAGAGCTATCAGAGCTACTACTGCTAGTAGGAGAAGATTGTGTGCTCGACGAGCTCGGGTCGGACGTGGGTGTAATGACAACAGTGCTGTAAACTACCTCGCCAGCAGAATTGGTGCTAGTTTGCACCGAGGTGGTCAACGGAGGGGGAGCTGTGGTCGGGGTAGTGGCAATGGTCTGGGAAGGTAGTGTGGTGGTGGTCTGGGCGGTAGTGGAGGTTGGCGATGGCGTGGTCGTCGTTTGGGTCGGGGTAGTAGTAGGAGGTGTCGATGTAGTCGACGGCGTTGTCGTCGTTTGCGGAGCTGTAGTGGTAGGAGTTGTGGTGGGCGGCGTAGTTGTGGGGGTCGTACTTGTGGCTCCCACGAGAGGCACAGATATACTTTGTTGGCGTACATGAAGATTAGGCTTTCGCTCTTCAAGTAGCTGATGTGGAGCATGTGCAACTGAAAGCAAAAAACAAGACGCCACTACAAGGAGCAGCAGATATCGTGATGTCGCGCTCTTCATTGCGCTCTTCATCATGCGGGTTCAAGCGGACTGTCTATCGCGTGATACGAAAATTAATGAGCGGTCTCTATGATATTTTTCAAGGTTAGCACGTCGTAGGAGGTATCGTCGCCGCTGTTTGGGGCCGTGTCGTACGAAGAGGGAATTAACGACGACACAGGTAAATGTGAATGAAAGGAAAGCCTTTGGTAAAAAGCGGGCGGCAACCTAATTGATGGAACGACCGGTGGCAGTGGTCACTCTCGTTGTGACATCACCGTAACAGTGTAACATCTCACATCAATAGCTGCGCAGCAAGGTATACATAGAGACGGAACAAAGCCTGTGCGCAATGCGACATGCCCTAAGTAACCCCTCGTCGTTGTCGTCATCATCGCCATCGTCATCGTCATCGTCATCACGGAGTAAGCACCCATCCTTAGTCCAATGACCTCCTCCCCAGCAGTTTCGCAATCTCTCTATGTTCTCGAAGCCAATCCGAAAACCCTCTTGTCTCTCTTCCCTGCATCTCCCGTAGTTCAATGAGATAGTTAGCAAACACGATCAGTGTTCCATAGCGATATCTACGTGTAGTGGGCGCGCATCACGTAGCTGTGTGGACAACACATGGAAACAACTCACAGGTAATTCACCGCAACGTCCATCAGCTTCCGTTGTTTCACGCTTCCCTTTTCCAGAGCCTCTACCTTGACTTTGTAGCTATGCTTCCCATCAGCGCCAGAACAAAGCATGATACAGCTCTTTCACTTACTCGTATATCGACTTGCGAAGATTTTGCACATCTTGCATAAGATCAATGGCACGGTCCGTCAGGCGCTTTGCGATTTTGCCGTGAGACAAGACGCCGACAAGTTGCAATATAGTCTTGTACTCCCCTGTCACAACATATTGTTAAACATGCAATACTCGGGCTCGACTGCCAATCAGACCTTGCCGGTAAGCCTGTTCCTCCGAGGGACCATCAATGGAGTCATATTCAACACTGTCCGGGTCTTCCTGTCCGTCAATGTAGTTTTCTTCGCCCTGCCAATTCATCGTCGTTGATATCAAGCAGGCTGTGACCATCCCCGTGGTTGTACGACCACGGCCCATCTGACAATTGAATATGAAGTCATCCGCCTCTGGGTATCCAGACCGGACACGTTCCAGTAACTGTGACAGAGCATCAGGCAACGGCGCTTGTTCGTCGGTCTGTAAATCTCCATGAGCGCTTGTTTCATACAAAACCCTGGTTCCTCACAATAGCAACACGGCCATAATTGATCTGCCAGGTAGAGTCAGCAACGGCAGACCTAGAAACTCAAGAATGTCGCGCTGACCTTGAATCCCTCCCTAGCCATAAGATTGAAAACATCCCTTGGGGTCATAATATCAGCCTCTTCCACCGTCTCCCATATGGGTATGATAGAGAACACGCCAGGCCGCTCCTCAAGTTCATCATGCAGAAGGATACGTCCATCACCCATTCTGACCTCACGTATAACGTCCTTCTTTAAACGTTCCTCCATAGCCTCCACCATGGCTGTTGTGACCCCAGTTGCTCTGCGCGGTATCAGCCTGTTATCCCATGTGGCTCATAAGCACTCACTCTACGTTTTCAAGCGGTTTGTCCACGATCCGCAGAACATGGGGCTGGCCCGCGATATAGATGACCGGTTCCTATGTCGTTTCAGCCATGATGAAGCGAATATCGGCATTTCTAGCCTCACCTCTCGCAGGGATGTCCAGTACACCATACTGTGACCTTGTGGATCAGCATCAACACGTGCTAGCGCTCGCCGTAAACTAAAGACATGCCACGATGAGAGTTCGTTGCTAACCATCGCACTACAAACCTACCCTTGAACTGTAGGCATTCCGCTGTAGAACAGTCAGACAACGTCTAGTATCATTCCTTGGAGAACACACCTGCCGCACAACATCTTCTCATCAGCCGGATCTACAGGAGAAGATGCCCGAGAAGAACCAAGCTTCAACGTCAGTGGCACGCGACGGAAATTAGGAGAGCCTTCGATCCTCCTATACGAGAAGACCGATTCAGTTCACGCTTCATTGAAATTGTGGAAAAACACACTCAGGGAGCGACATCTTTTGCAAGTTGGAGAAGAAATCGCTCTTGAGAATGGTAGATGCAGAGAGAATGCTGCCAGATCGGTTTACTACCACTTGCTTGACTTCGTCTGGACGAGCTACACTCTCATTGACATCCGCACGCTCGAGTGGCTTGAGGGCGCGCAAACCTTCCGCAATGAGTTCCTTCTCGAACGTTTTGATGACTATGCCATAATGAGAAGTGAAACGCTTTAGTAAGGTACAAGAATGATCTCCTTGCCTGGGCGATTCTCAATGAAACTTTTGAATGTTTCAAATGACTGCATCGTATCTGGCTCAGTAGATCGCAGATACGCCTGAAACAGAATGAGTTCAAAGTAGCGCTGTAAATTGTGCATCCCTTGGTCTGTTCAACACTAGGATAAAAAAAGGGAAAGCATTGTCTTTACCTTTTGAAGCATGGATGCGCTTTTGCTTCTCATCAGTCGCTTTCTCAGCCAAATCACGTTCGTCTTCGATGGAGTCTCTGAGATTCATCACGATCGCACATCGATCAATGACCTCGTCAACAGTGTTCTTAACTGCAGGACCTTTCCGGACGATTCGAAGGAGATCTATATCACAATCTCAGTGGCATACCTCAACAGAAAAGACTAATATTAACGTACTATTGATGACTTGATATGAATGGCGCTTATTTGCAGGCTCATCGTGAAACATATCAGAAGTCATCGACATCGACATCGAACGAGCCTCTGTCCGAGATGACCACTGAGAGAGCGCCCGGCTGTCATTCAACCATTGTTGAATGAGGACAATCAACACCTGTGTGGCAAGAACATCAATAATAACAGTCCTTCGTTTCCACCTGTACTCACGGAAGTTAAAGTGCTCCTTCCTCGCCCAAGCTGGCAATTGACGACCATAACCGTACTGGAAGAGTCTGTACGAAGAACAAGGTCCATGAGCTCACTTATGTCTGCGAAATCGGGAGGACGCTCGGATGTGATTGGGATCCGAACATATTGGAGATCCAACCCATATCTAGATTTACGGGATACCATGATGTCCTTGAGCACTGCGACGCTTGAGGATTGTACTTCTTCCCATATGGGAATCACAGATCCATCTGAGGTCTCTGTGTGAAGAAGCAATCTTCATTGTATTTTCGGGTATGTGAATTATAATTTGGAACTGCAGGTAAACAAAGACGCACCTTCCCTCAAATGCTTCAAGCTCTGCAAGGACATCATCTTTCAGGCGCTCTTCTAAGACTTCCAGTCGCGATGCAGAAATCCCTCCATAATCTGTAATAGTTCAATCTTTCAGGAACAGTATCAAAGTTTAAACCTAAACGCGCAAACCTTTCATGTTCCGGAGGGAGAAACGTTCGCGCCTTAAACAGTATGGCGCGCCGTTGACATAAACAATGGGCTCTTCTCTCAATGTCACCCACACAACTTTGTTTGCGTCAGGGTGTGCCACTTTGACACGATGCACCACCTCATCGACTGCGGACTCAGTTGGTTGGCCGCTCGCATATATGTTAGTCCCGGGTATGTTACGAAAGTTGATAGCCCCGCGGACTGAGTCTGAAACACGATGAGACTCTGAAAGCCACTGGTCTGACTTGAGAAGCGTGCTGTTTGACGGACATAAGAAGTCAAACACGTTGCAAACGCATGGTGCTGACGTACCTGTCTCGCAAAATGATTCCACTCCGATTCTGCAGCAATTAATAAGGCCAAGTGGTACGTGTTATTCAAAGAGCGAACCTTGACAACGTGGTCGCTATACTCATCGCCGAGCAGCTGACCTCCGGCGATCTCCACATCATTCTTCTGTCCAGCCACTAGAGATTTATCTTCTGTTCCTGATCTTGACAAGAGAGAGAGGTCGTTGACGGGCGCAAAAATATTGAGCCTCGAGCCGTAAATCTTGCGGAGAAACATGACTTGACTGTAAACATGTAGGTCGCCATTGAATGTTTAGTCACTGATATGCTCGGGACGACTTACTTCCAAATTTCTGTTCTCGCCTAACGATTAAGATGTTACCACGGCGATTGGAGGATATTTCATCAATCATAGAGAATAACGTACCTTCAGCCAATCCGAAAATGTTATCTCAAAGTCCTTGACAGAATCAACATAGCTCGCAAAGGTGATCATGAAGAAACTATTGGGAATTTGGTAACAGGTATCAAATGATATAGTCACAACAAACCACGTACTATTTCTCCAGCGCTCTCCGAGCCT